CTATGTTTGATTTAAACAGGGATTTAACTGAGGAGAAAAAACGGATACCAAAGGCTAAAATTTATGACGGTTATAGAGTGTGGATTATAGGTTTCTACAAAATTCACTTTTAGAATATATAAATAAATTGCAAAATATAACTAAATATAGCATACTTCTTTGAGTACTTTTCCATTTTCCTTAAATATATAGGATATGTCTAAAGTCCAAATTTTTCAAGTTGGCCCATGCAAAGTTGGTCAACTCTGAAAGTAGTTTTGGTTCAGCTGGGGTTCTGCTTTCTATTGCAATCTTCATATCGCCTCCCTCTCTAGCCGCCTTTCCAATTCAATTAAACGAGAAGAAAAATAAATAAATAAGCAAGAAACCGATACACCCACACACAGCACACAGCACTGCGGAAAAAGAAAGACAGAGAACTTTGGGAAACTGGTATTCGCGCGGATACTCGATATCAATATGCATGATATGCATGCATAAATTACGTATACGACATGTTGTTCTGCCCGCCGACGCCGATCTCGCCACTCTCTTTCGCCTGACCTGCATTTCCCCGATTCTCCGACTCTCAATCACCGATTCCCGTCTTAGAAACCCGAAAAGCCTTGGCACATTTGTCAAAACTGCAAAACAAGCGCTTAACAAATTTGAATAGTTCCCCGTCCAAAGTGGAAGGCCACAAATTAAGCCAGCAATAAATAACAAATCAAAAAGAAATGACCAAGGAAAAAATCAAATGAAATTCAGCCGAAGAAGAAAAAAACACTGCCAAAAGAATTGGGTCAGTAACACGCAAAAAAAAAGAAAATAAAACAAGTCGAAGAAGAGGAAGGAGCTGGCACACAAAGAAAAAGCAGATCCAAAAGCATAGCACGCAAATACAAAGTCAATTGAGCGTGGTCATAGCTTACAAAAAAGCAAAACTCTTATGTATAAAGTGAGCCAGAAAAAACAATGAAAATGACGCGACAATCAGGAATTTCTGTCAAATGTTTTAGGAAGTTCAATGAAAGCAGAGCGTCGCAAAAAAAATACGAAAACATTTAATTAAAAGAAGAACATCAAATAAATTGCACAAATTCGGTGACCCAATTTTTTAAATCACTTTGTTTTCTATTCATCTATTTATATTGAAATTATGAATTCCGAAAAAACAAAAAAAATGAAAAGGCAAAACAAAGGCAAAGTCAATGAACTCTTTAAGCCCTTGCACAGCTGGGATCGAAATTATAGGACTATACTACTGGGAATATTAATTTATTTATATTAATCAACGTTTAATATTTTAAACAAATATTTTAAAAGAATATTGTTAGTTCCTCAAATATATTTGTTTCCATATCTTTAGTTTTTATTACCGTTGTTATATTTATGAACTCATCTGTACGATTTACGAGTTATACACAAACGAACGATACCGACGATCATCTGTTTTATTTGGCAACTTGTTTAATATCGGTCAATGTATTCACAAATACAATGGGCAGCAAAACCCATATTAAATACGGCAAAAAACGAGATAAGAATTTCAAAAATGTTTTCTTTTGATTGCGTGCTACACACACACCCTCGCACGCACTCACACACATACACACACGCTTATAGTGAGATCTGTATGCAATGCCAAACTTTCACGTAATTTCTGCGCTGTCTCCGTCCTGTTCTCTCTCCACCTTTCTCCCTCTTTCTCTGCATGTGTGTGAATTATATTATTTTGTTGTTGTTGCCGTTACCGCTGCCGTAGTTGTTGTTGCTTTATTTTGGCGTCTGTTTTGCTTGTTGTAAAAGTCAATAACCTTTTCGCGTATTCAAGAAGCCAGTTCCAGTTCCTCGAGGAGAGTTCCCCAAGAAAGCGACGCCAAAAAACCAAGATTTAGTTTTTTTGGGCGTTGTGGCTGGCCTTAATCAAGAGCCAAAAAAAGAAGAAATAAGAAATGGCATCATAGCCGTGGGTTAGGTAAATTGTTACCCGGTTACTTGGTCAGTAAGTTGGCTTTCTTGGCCTCGCTGAGGAGGTCACAGCGGGCTAATTACGTAAATTATTGAGTCTGGGGGAAACTTTGAGGAAGTTTCCGCCGGGCTAATGGCACCGCCAGACTCTTTTTTTTGGGAGTGTGCTTTCGGAAACAAATAGTTTTTTGATTATTAGTGTAAGTGCGCCTAAATGTGCATTAGGGAGTTCAGTAAACCCTAGAGAAATTAAGCTGGAAATAAGCATTAGGAAGTAACTAAACCAATAAATTGGAAAAAGATATTAGACTTTAGTCATATTTTTAGTATTAATTGCTTAATCATAGTTTTAAAAATAAGCTCTATGTAAGTGAAACAATATTTCCAATAAAAGTAATGGTCTTTGACCTTCTTAACACGAATGAGATAAGTTTACAGCCTTTGTCTGTAGATTTGCCAATCTAAAAGTTTATTTTAGAATAACAAAATGCCACTAAGCTCTGTTTAACTTTTTAGAAGTCCATAGCTTCGACAGTTGGTCTACGTGATCTTTGGCACACTACTCAACTCCCCAACTCGGCTCAGATGTCGTTTACAAATTGAAAGAAAGTTAAGCCGATAGTTGGGAAAGGGGGAGCATAAGAGGCCAGCAAACTTAAAATACTTTTCCCAGACAAGCCAACAGTTTCTCCCCCGCAAAGACAACAACAAAGTTGTAAGCTTTTGGCTCGTGTGAAATGACCCCGACTCTGAGGTCACGTGTTTCGCCAGCTGAGCCGCAAAAACGTTGTTCTGTGCATAATTCGCATTTTGGTGGAAATTGTGTCATGCGAAAACGGCACCGGAAATGGGTTAGTAGTTCGACAAAGCTTGTACTAAGACCGCTTTAGCGGGAAATTAACGTACTCGAAGACTCTTCTCCTGGCAACATCTTAGTTTGGAAAGTTGGTTTGGTAGTTTCGTTAACGGGCGAAAGTATTTAGTTTCCCAGAAACAAAGCAAATTTTAACTCAAAACCAAAATAAAATACTTAGCGGGTTAGTTTGGGGTAATTATTTAGATGCTGCCAGAGCTATACAAATCAAAAGAAAATCTGTATTTTTTATGTTTTCTGTCCCAAAAATTTACAACTAGGCTTTTCTTTAAACTTAAGTTGATGTGGCTTGAAAAAGAAATGGAATATAACCGTCTAGCTTTAGTGCCAGACCACTTACAGTTATCGGATTTATTCTATTATTATTTTAAAATACAATTTCCTTTTTATTTCCTTTTCGTTTTTGATTGAAAAACAAACTCACATCAATATCTTTATTCCCCTCCGAAATATACTTTATCAACTTATTGATTTTCAGTTTTGAATTTGATTTGGATTGAGGATGACTATCCACCCGGACATTGGCTATTGTAGTTAACCAAAGAACAGGGATAGAGAGACGGGGAGAGGGGGAACTGGGGTCTACTGATGGCAGAAAAAGGCAGAAAAGGCACATAAAAATAAAATGTATTCATCAGATACTTTGCATGCAGCCTGTGCGAGTGCGTGTGCTGGTGTGATGTTGTGTGTGGGTATCTGTGAGTGCTGGCTTTGTTTGTCGTTGTTGTCTGCTGACTGCATTGACCCCCACTCGGGCCCCCCTATCGCTGTCCCTTTCCCGCCCCCGTCACTATGCCGCCACCGTACCGCCTCGCCCATCCCGCTCGCACCTACACTCACGCAGCGAGTGCGGTTCAATGCACTCGACCGGACTCTCTATTTACTTTCGGCGCCTACCGGAGTCGATCGGCGGAAATTTACATTTCTGTATAATTTGTAAATTAAATTCGCTGCTCTTGGTCGAATAACACGATGCTGCCACAGGGATGGCTGCCGCTGCCCCAAAAAAAGATGTTATAACTATAACGGCGTTATCTACGGTCTATTCATAAGGCTAGGGCCGGCCCATCTGCCTATCTGCCGTCCGAGTGAAATATTTAAATAAATTTGATAGGTACACAAGAACAGAACGGAGCTGAGTAGAATCCACCATGCAAGAGGCTATTGACTCCGCCTTGGTATCTGTGTGAGCATTTCTGTGTGTTAGTCTTGTGTATCTGTGTGCGTAGTGGGAGTAAAGTCGAAGCATTGACCGAGAGTCGGGAGACAGAAGAAAGCAAGTGAGAAGGCCGCCGGCGGCTTTTCCGACTCCAAGATACCCGTCATTACGGGAAAACCACTCAAGGGCTATTTGTTTGGGTCATTCAAATTACAAGCTGGGAAATACAAAGAGAAAAAATAGTAGAGAAAGAAAGCTAGGCTTGTGGTTTACTTCTTTGATATCTTTAAATATTATTCCATCTTGAATCTTAAAACCAAATTTGAATTAATATTATAAATCAAATAAATTAATGGGCGAATAAAAGTTTTGAGATAAGTTTTCATATTAATTAAGCTATGTAAAAAACGTATATGCCCGCTCTCTTTCCAGAATACTGGGTATCCGCAGAGAATTACGAGCACGCACAGCTCCAGAATTCCCAGTTCCATTTCCATGCCGAACATCTCGCTCTCTTAAGAGCTGTGCGCGCGTGTGTGTGTGTGAGTGAGTGATAATGCGACCGCCACACATGTGATATCGCCGATAACAGTTGACAGTGGGAACAGGCTGGGGCTCTGAGTAACTGTATTGTGCGGCCATATCCCCCGACTTTGTCGCCGTCACACTGATTTTACTTTTGCCTGCCCCATGGGGACATTGACTTTTGTTTTGTTTTGTTTTGCACGAACATCAACAAAAGGTTTGTGCCGTTCCGTTATATGATTATAAAAAAAATTGAACTTTTCATGATAAGGATAAGGAAACGCTGAGGTCTGTGGGGAAATTTCCAATTTCTTTTATGCCATTTTAAAGTTTCTAAAGTTTGTTTATTTGTCAAATAAGGGAGCTTCGTATTGTGGCTTTCATTACATATTTTTTACCTTTAGTTTTGTTTTATTTTCCGAGTGCCTGAAAGTGAGCACTCCCTTTGATGTGTCTATAACCTTATCTGTTATTTTCCTTTGCCTTTTGCAGTAACTCACCGGCTTCTTTATCATATCACTTTGAGAAGTCTCCAGTAAACCCGCAGAAGCAGCATCACAACATTAACATATGCAATAGCCACCACCCACATCACCACCCCCAGATTCAGCCTCAGCACAGCCTGCAGCTGACCTTTCAGAACGTGAATGTCTTGCACAACGAACGCCAAATACTTTCCGATGTGAGTGGATTTGTCAGGTAACAAGATCAACGGAACAAGAGCACTTGAAAGCACAGAAACAAATGGATGCTGAGCTGCCAACATAGCTTGCTCGCTTTAAGCCGATGCAAACCATGTACTTATTTTATAGCTTACAAATTGCTTGAAGTACTTTCGTCGAGTATAGACACTACAAGAACTTCAAGTACTTCAAACAGAATTGTATTTAAGTTATTCCTGATTGCAATCGAAGTTCGAATGAGAATAGCAATTACTTTAAGCCCTCCTGTTAAAGGCTCTTAAAATATATCCAATTTTTTAAGCAAATAAGCTAATGTTGGCAGCATGGGCATTATCCTGTATCCCGTAAGCAATAATCCAGACCTTCTGCATTTTCACACCCTCTCTGATGCAGTCCCTGCGAGGTCCTGGCCATCATGGGTCCTTCGGGCAGTGGGAAGACCACTCTGCTGGACTGCCTCAGTGGACAGAGGCATATTGACAGCGGCAGTGTCTTTCTCAACCGCGAACCCCTGTCCAAGAAGTGGCGACGAAGGATCGGCTATGTCCTGCAGGAGGAGATCTTCTTCCCGCAGCTGACGCTCCGCGAAACGGTGGTCTATACGGCGCTTCTGCGTTTGCCGGAATCGATGCCGCGGGCGGAGAAGATGCGCCAAGTGGACCACATCCTTGAGGCCCTGGAATTGGGCTGCTGCCAGCAAACCAAGTTCGGGGACTATCTCAACAGGGGACTCTCCGGCGGCGAGAAGAAACGTGCAAACATCGCCTGTGAACTGCTCACCAATCCGCTGCTCATGCTTCTGGATGTAAGTGATGGATTGGCTCCTAGAGTACAGATTTCATGATACACTTATTTTTGCAGGAACCCACTTCTGGACTGGACAGCCATTCGGCCATCTCGCTAATGAAGGTCCTCAAGCGGTACGCACAACTGGAGCAGAAGACCATCGTGATCAGCGTCCACCAGCCTTCGTCCCAGATGTTCCATATGTTCGACAAGCTACTCCTGCTCCACCAAGGACGCACCGCCTACTTTGGGGATGTGCACAATATCTACCGCCATTTCGAAGACATCGGGGTCACCATCAAGCCGCACTACAATCCTGCCGATTTCGTGTGTAAGTTTTGATAATAATAAAAGAAGTTTTCAAGAATACATATTCCTTTATTTTTCCAGTGGAACAACTGAAATCCCATCCGGACATCCGCGAGAAGCTCTTTATAGCCGCCAAGGAGTCGCACGGAAACTATCTGAACCGGAACTGCATCACCAGCAGCCAGCACCACCAGGCCAGCGATACGGAGGCGAAGGGCAAGAAACAGCCGGACAGCATTCTGATCGATGATATTATAAATAATTACTATAACCACCGATCCAACCGGCACCACCACCAGTACGAGAACCTTCACCACACGAGCAATGGCTGCCAGGTGGAGGAGGATGAGGAAGCGGCCCAGCATTTGGTGTGGTGTGGTGCCGACTCGCAGTCCAACTTCAGCTCCTGCGCCTCCAGCGACTGTCATTCGTACAGTGCGGGCAGTGGAGCGGGACATTCAGGAGATGACGACTGGCTATCCTATCCCACCAGCTTCCACACCCAGTTCTGCGTCCTCTCTAGCCGCAATTTCAGGGAGGCTAAGCCGCGAATGCTCTCCAAGCTCAACTGGTTTCAGACCATCGGACTGGCTCTGATGGCAGGAGCCATTTGGTTCCAGCTGCCGAGAACCGAGGAGTTCCTGCATGACCTCCAGGGATGGATGTTCTTCTCGCAAACCTACTGGATGCTCTTTGCCCTCTTTGGGGCCCTCAATTCATGTGAGTTTTGATGAAATAGTTACTAGAGAGCCTCCTCTTCAACGTATTCCCTATATTTACAGTCCCCTCGGAGCGAGAGGTGGTGAGCAAGGAACGCCGCTCCGGGGCTTACAGGCTATCCGCCTATTACCTGGCTAAAATGTGTGCCGAGCTGCCCTTGGTGATCACCCTGCCCACGGTCTACCTCATGATCAGCTATCCCATGCTAGGGTGCACTAGGTGAGAGCAGTATTTTGCATAGATAGTGATTTATAAATTACATCTTCAATACTCATTTCCAGCCTAAAGCTTTTCTTCCTGATGCTCATCTTCCTGTTGATCAACACGATCGTGGCCCAGAGCGTGGGCTTCTTCATCGGAGCCTGCTGCATGGACATGAACGTGAGCATCACCCTTAGCGCCTTGTACACGCTGGCCACCCAGCTTTTCGGCGGATACCTGTCTTCCCGCATTCCGGAGGGGCTCAGCTGGATACGGTACACCTCCATGATCCACTACGCCTATCAGAACATGCAGATTCTCGAGTTCCGCGAGGGTGCGGCTATAGGGTGAGTTTATCTAACAAAGAAATCTAATTATCATTGATATTGGTTGGTTTTATGACAGATGTGGATCGCCCAGCAGCTACGAGATTTGCAAAGAGCAGTCAACCGAATTCATTCCATACGAGGAAATACTCAAAGCCCAAAACTCGACATCACCGCTCTGGCTGAATACGCTGATCCTGATGATGTTCTTCCTGGTATTCCGGTGCCTGGGATACGCGGTGCTGCGCTACCTGCGATGCCCCAAAAAGACGTGATATCTATATCTATCTATATATCTATCTGAGCAGACATCGAACCAGTGATACGTAATTAGTTAATGCTAACCATTGCTACCCCGCTACAACAGAACAAACTTGCTAAATTGCGCCAATTTTGTGATTCAATTTACTACCAAGCCACACCATTTAGTTTAGTAACTACAACTACGATTATCCTTACACCTACTCTAGATGTGGTTTGCTATGGGGCAGTGCGAGAGAGCTGTTTCGTGAGCACTTACCTTTGTTTTGTTTTATGCATTTTAATTGTTAGCCGTTTATGTTATTACTCGCTAGTTTGCCGCTGAAGCACAGGAGAGGGAGAGAGAGGGGAATGCCCTACTATTTGTTTTAATGTACGTTTTAAAGTTCCCAAGAAATAATTACAGCTGTCTGCCCTATTTCCACACAACCCACACCACCCACATCCCCACGCACATATGCATATATATTGTATGTTTAATATGAAATGCTAGTAATTTTGTAGAATATTGCAAATTTTTTTCGCTTGGGAAAAAACACTGTGATTTAGTATGCTAGTTTTTTAATTAGTTTTAAATGGTCAGCGCCGGTGAAAGGTGCTCGTCCGGAGAAATGTAAAGCCAATTATGTAATTAATAATGAAAGAGATCGGCATCAGAATGCATGAGCTTAGGGCGTAAATTGTATTTTGTTTATATTATCTAATTATATGTAATTAATCTTATTTAAATATACATGAAAATGTAAACTGAGCTCCTGTCTCTTATTTTTCTTCCAATTATGCCACTTTCCCGTTAACTTTTCAGTTCATTCGGTAAACTAATTTGAAATGAGACCACTTAAGATTCCATCATTGATTAAAGGCAGAAGTTTGAGCTAGAAACTTTATTGGAAATTTATTAACACATTCCTCTTCAGTCATCCAGCATGGACTTGCCCTTGGTCTCCTTCATGAAGTACGTGAAGTACACGAAGCTAAATGCGGTTACGCCTGCACACGACCACATGGTTGCGGATATGCCCCACTGTTTCATGCAAATTGGGAAAATGTTCAGCATGACGAAGACGAAGCTGCTGCAGACCACAATTGCCATTGAAGCCGCTTTGGCACGTATCTATAAATAACAATTGTTAAGAATTATAACGAAATTTAGTCTACACGTTACGGGAAACTACCTTGGCAGGAAATATTTCCACGAGGCTGACAAAGAAGCACCCAACCAGGCCAATGTTTCCCAGGAAAATGTCCATCGACATGAGAAAGAGGGGTATCCAGCTGTATTCACTGACATCATGACTTTCAGCATACTTTGTGAAGACTCCAAAGGCTGTCAGGCTAATGGCCACGCCGCTAGTGGAAACCAACATGAGGAGTTTGCGTCCGCAGATGTCGCACAGCAAAGTGGTCACATAAGTGCCCAGGATTTGGACGGCTCCAATGATGATGGTGCAGGTGTCGGGATCCATTGTGCTACCAGAGTTAGCGAATATATCGGACATGTAGTTGACCATGGTAAAAGGCCACTGAACTGATTGGCAATCAGCAGGACCAGAGCGGGACCATAGGCCCTGAGAGCAGGTCGTGAGCCTTTCAGAATATTAGTAATATTATTATTGGAAAACAAGGACATTTATGAACTTACAAAAGTCCTTGAAAGTAATGGCATCCTCTAACGGATCCCCTTTGGTTAGGGCAATTTTCATGATCTCGAATTCCTCCATGGCTCTATTCTGATCGTGAATGTTATCACTGTCCTTGATGTTCTTGTAGTACCGGAATGATCTTTCGGCGGCTGAGTACTTGCCAATTCTTATCAGATGCATTGGTGATTCCTTGATGAACAGTAATACAAAAAGTAGGTAGCACAGGGGCAATATAAGCACAATCCAGGGAATGGAGTAGTACGACAAGTGGGTGCCCATTATGTAGCCCAGAAGTACGCCCACGTTGACCGATAGCATGACCATGGCAGAGAAGGTACCTCGGATGCTGTAGGTTAAATAAACCAATGTGATTTACTACCTTATAATCTAGCCTAGCCTATTTCAATAAACGTTAGAACTCAATGGAAATCCATTTTAAAAGGCTTTTATCGTGACGTTGAGCCTTATCTTTTACAGACCAGCAAACATGACAATTCCATTGCGAGAAGTCATAAATTATCCACTTACTTGGCATCTGCTATTTCACTGAGGAAAATGGGATGAACAATGTACATGCCGCCGCCACAGATGCCAGCCAGGAGTCTTCCCACGTACAGGAACTCCACACTCTGGGCAAAGTAGACCAGGATCCACAGGCACTAAGAGCAGCCATAATGTAAGTACAATTCCCATTGTTCGATTTTGACAAATTACCGAATGCGGAATGGCAATGAAAAGCAGACACCTTTTGCTGCCTAGGCGCCCGAGGAGGCATCCTATCAGAATATTGCCAGTCACCGAACCCATTCCCAACATGGAGCCCACCCATGAGATCTCGAACTCGGACTTCACCTCAAAGCCCACAGGGGAGTCCGATTGCAGTTTCCTCAGAGTGGGAGATAGCCAGCCAATGCCAATGCCATGTGATACGGATATAATATTAACTGAACTATGTCATTAGATATATTTTCAATAGGCATACAATTTGGGTTACTTACTCAACAGCGTGGTCAGCAGTTGATATCGATTCCTGCGATTAAGCAAGCAATTCGGCCTTTGAAATAATTGCATCAGCATTTTGTTCCCAAGAAATAAAGTAATCTTCTAAGCAATAATACGAACACCGCGCTCTTTATTCAGTCTTGCATTGGCCAAGTATCTCTGATCACTGAAAGGGCTTTCCGCTGAGGAAGGGGCTTAAGTATCCGTCCGGTATCCTCTGGCCGTAAAGATAGCAACGGGCTTAGGCTAATCGCCCAGGTGCGACAAATTTGATAAACCATTATCTTCCCAGTAAACAAACTAAGCCTCCAGTAGCGATTTGCCTTTGGTCTCTTCCAGAAAGAAGCAAAAGTAGAGAAAGCAGAAGAACGTGCTGCCACTACAGCACCACATGGTAACCGAGATGCCCCAGATGGCCATGCAAATGGGGAAAATTTTCAGAGTGAGGAATACAGTGCTGCTCAAAATGACCACAAACGTGGATACACCCACAGATCGTATCTGAAATATAATAATTGTTAATAAAGCTCTCAGCAGTTACCGAATAGAACCCACCTTAGCCGGAAAGATCTCCACGAGGACCACAAAGAGACATCCCACCATGCCGATGTTGCAGAGAAAGACGAAGAAGGACAATATTACGAGTGGCAGCCAACCAACTACCGAGAGATCATAACTCTTGGCGAAGTAAGTAAAGGTACCAAAGGCAAGAAGGCAAATAGAAGCCCCGGAAGATGAGGTCAGCATGAGAATCCTGCGTCCGTACTTATCGCACAGCAGGGTGGTCACATAGTTGCCGACGATCTGAAGCACTCCAATGATAATGGTGCACATGCCCAAGTTCAGGGTGGTGTAAGATGCCGCGAAGACATCCGACAAATAGGTGGTCACACAAAAGCTGGCACTGAATTGGTTGCAAATGAGCAGGACACCGGCAGAGGCATAGGCCTTAAAGGCAGGCTTGGTAACTAAAAGCGAAACCCGTATTTTTATGGGTAACTAATCAAATTGCAAATGAAAACTCACTGAAATCCTTGTAGTCAAAAGACTTGTCCTTCTCTGTCTGATCCTTAAGTACGAGATACTTCAGGTCCTCGAACTCACTCTCCGCCTTGATGTCTTCCCTCCTGATGTTTTTGTAGAACATGAACGACCTTTTAGCGGCATCTACTTTGCCCTTGCGGATAAGATGATGCGGTGTTTCCGGGATGAAGAAATTACAGATGAAGTAAGAAACTGGCAGCACGATAATGAACGGGGGAGATGTATAGTAATCCGAACTCGTGGACACAATATAGCCCGCCAGAACACCCATGTTCACCGACAATAAGATAATAGAGCCCAGCCGACCGCGCACCCTGTGAAGATTTATGGTCAAGTAGTTAACTAGTAGCTAATCACTACGCGCCACGTTTATATTACTCACTTGGTGTCGGCTATCTCGCTTATGAAGGTCGGCAGGACGACGTAACAGGCGCCACCCGTCATGCCGGCCATCAGTCGTCCGATGTAAAGGAACTCCACACTCTGGGCGAAGTAAACCAGGAACCAGAAGATCTAGACGAATCATAGATAACACAAGCATGGTGAAATAGTTACGTTATAAATGCGAACTCATCTTACCGTATACGGTATGGCAATGAAGAACAAGATCAGCTTGCGACCAATGCGATCCTGAAGAAATCCGGCCAGTAGATTGCCCAACACACTGCCAATGCCCACGAGTGATCCTATCCAGGACACCTGGCTAACCAAAACGGGAAAGTTCAGGGGCGACTCATCGGTCTGCAGATCCCTCATCACCGGCGACATCCATCCGACGCCCAGGCCATGCGAGAAGGTGGCAATGTTTACTGGGGAGTACACCGTTCTAGAGAGGTCTCATCTTTTTGGAGGTTATTCGGTGTCTTACCCAGCAAGGTAACCAGGAACTGATGCCGGTTCCTGCGACCCAGCAGGCAGTTCGGATTATCGAAGACCGAGGCTAAGGGCAACTTGATTGTCATGGTCGAGATGCTTTCTCCAGACTGAATGAGATTCATCTGCGCTCTGGACTTCGTCTTAAATATTTCACGACCGGTTTATCTAAGCCAGATAAGACAAAATCTCTTTTGTCGCCTATCTTTCGTGGATACACTTGAAAAGACTTTCTATAAGAAACCACAAAAGATTTTTCATTTTTGTTTATTTTTGTTTTGTTTTTGTAAAACAGTAATGTTTGGTTTTAAACTTTTGGATTTTTAAAGCATCTTCATGTTTCAGTGAGAGTTTGCTGAGTCAGTCGGTTTATCTCGAACTCTGGAACTGGTTCGGCAGCTTGAAAGCTTCCATTTCCATTTGTTATCAAATTATGAAATCAGACAAATTTGAATATGCCTATTTTTACAATTTAAAACTTATTTCTAACTTTATGATAAGGACGAAGATGCAATATTTCAGGTTTATTTTGATGTTGCAAATGTTGAAGGAAAAACCCTTATTGGCGATCTTTTTTACTAAGATAAGTCATGCGTCCTCGAAAATCTGCGGTTAAACTTATTTGTGACAAGCATCTAGAAGGGTATAAAATCCTATGACGAAATGGCTTAGGAATGTTTACTAACCAACATAAAGTTTTGAAAAGGGGCTTAAAATCATATAAAATAGATAGGCGGAAATTACCGAACAATCCACTTTTTTTCGTGAAAATTAACATCTTGACTGCACTCGTAAGTGCTATAAAATTAAGTAGTTAATGCGATAAAAGCTCGGGAATCGTTTACAAGGCGCTTAAGAGGATGAAATTTATTGTGTTTACAATGAAGGCACTTATGTACGGTTTCTCAAAAATCTGTTATTTAATAATTAAATAATTATAATTATTTTAAAAAGGTAACCTTTTATGTGCCAAAAATGAATTTCTCCTGCTTGTTAATCTTCAATCATAGACTTTCCTTTGGTTTCTTGCAGAAACAGCCAGAAGTAGAAGAAAGTGAGCAAAGCGGAGGCGGCCGAGAACCACATGGTGAATGATATGCCCCAATAGTGCAGCATTAGGGGAAACAACTTCAAAGTGCCAAAGACCAGGAGACTCAAGAATATCACAGATATCGAAGTGGCGAGGGAGCGAATCTGCAAAGAACGAAAATTAGCCACCAACACAAAACTCCCTGTGACCCACATACCTTCACTGGAAACAGTTCCACCAGCACAAGGAAAAAGATCCCAATCAGTCCGATATTTGCCACGTAACAAATGAAAATCATCAGCAACAAAGGCAGCCAATTGAAATCACTGAGGTCGTAGGACTCTGCAAAGAAGGTGAAACAACCGAAGGCTATGCATCCGACTCCCACGCCCATTGTGGAGATCAACATCAGAACTCGTCTTCCCACAATGTCCACCAATATGGTCGAGGTGTAAACCCCAACTATTTGGACTATTCCTATGATAATGGTGGCCGTGTTGACATCCACAATCGAGCCAGAGGCCTTGAATATGTCGGACATATAGTTAATGAAGCTGAAGACACCGCTGAATTGGTAGCCCAAACTGAGGACAGTGGAGGCTGCGAATCCTTTAAGAGCTGGCTTTGTTACTGTAATAAATGAAATTCTGAAGGGACTGCGTTTTCCATCGTAATCCCCTACTCACGGAGGTCCTTGTAGCTCAGTGGGGTTGCATTCTTTGTCTGCTGGGAAAGAACTGCTGTGCGGAGTTCCTCAAAGTCGGCCTTGGATGCATGTTCACTAATTGCACTCCGCTGGTTTCTATAATACCTAAACGAGGTCTCCGCTGCAGTCAGCTGGCTTTTCCTAAGGAGATATGGAGCCGTTTCGGGTAACATTATATTGGCAATAAAGTAGGCCACGGGCAAGATAATGGCTAAGAAGGGTACAACGTGATAGGCCAGATAAGTGCTCAGAATATAGCCAGCCAGAATACCCAAATCAACGGATAACATCACCATTGAAGTCAGAGCACCTCGGATGCTAGAAATCAGAGGATTTTTAAATCTTAATTTTGGTTTCAACCACACACAAACCCACTTGCTGTCGGCGATTTCGCTGATGAAAATGGGAACCACCACGTATCCCGCTCCTCCGGTAAAGCCACAGAGGAACCTGGCTGCATATAGGAAGTACACATTGGATGCACAGTAAATCAAAATCCATATACACTAAAAATTTAAATCTTTCCGTTAGATGTTCGTGGCCAATTAAAATGGAATTACCTACCGCATATGGTCCTGCCATCAGATATATGCAGAATTTCCTGCCAGCTCTTTCAATTAAAAGGGCTATTGTTAGGTTTCCACACAGGCTACCCAGACCCAGCATCGAACCCAGCCAGGATATTTCGGCGAGACTTACCTCAAATTTTAGCGGAGAGTCGGTCGTTTGGATTTTGGTAAGTGTGGGTGACAGCCAGCCCACACCAACGCCATGGGCAAAGGTTATGATGTTTACTGCAGAAAACAGCTATTATACACTTCAAACTTCATTGGCAACACAAGGAAAACCCACCAATTACCGTGGCCAACAATTGGTAACGAGTTTGATGCTTCAGCAATGAGTTCTCGAAAATCCTAACCATTTTAGCCGTTTGAATGTCGGTTACTCTCCAGGTCTTAGCCACAAATGCGATAGGTTGTAGTTTTAAAAGCCAAACGAAAGGCAAAAGCTCTGAGCTTAGTCCCTTCATAAACTTTATATCCGCAATACCAGAGATCATCGTCTATATCTTTGTGTTTTTTCGAATCGGCAAACCCACCCCAACGACAAACAAATTACTTTGTAAAGATAAGAGGCAAAGCCGTTCACACCTGTTATTCTTCGGCAAATAGATTAAGTTGGACATTTCACAAGGAAAACAATGAATTTCTACTTTTACCATCCCGGAGATGAGACCACAGAAAAAGGGGCTTGTCTGCCTCGACTGGTATTAAGCTGTAACTTTTATGATGTTGGCCCAGACTCAACTGGCCGTCTGGTAGATAAGGCCAAAGGCGGAAAACTTCTGGTAGAAAAGTTTGGCACATAAAAGAACGAATATAACAAAAGGAAATAGAGAGAGAGAGAGAGAGCAGAGAAGCTAACATTTAAATAATCATTAAAAGTTGAAAAACAAATGCGTAAAAGTATGCTATTATATTCAATATTAGGCTGTGCCCGAAGTTACCAAAACATTTGAGTTTTCTTTAGAAGGCTTATTTCGTAAACGAAACTTTCTTTTTCTTTATTTCACTTTATTTTAACATTGATTGGCATAAAATTAGATTACATTGGCTATTTGTCTTATCAAATTCCAACAAAATGCAGTTACATAGCATTTTTAATCTTCGACCATCGACTTTCCCTTGGTTTCTGGCAAGAAAAATAGGAAGTAGATAAAGGTGAGCAAGCTGGATGTCGCCGAGAACCACATGGTCAAGGATATGCCCCAGAAGTGCAGCATGAGAGGGAATATCTTCAGCGTACAGAACACCAGGATGCTCATCCAGATTATGGAAACCGAGGTACCAAATGATCGTATCTGAAATGGATCAGGATTAGATTTAAATATTTAAACATATTAAATTTACTCACCTTGGCTGGATAGACCTCGACTATTACCAGAAAGAATAGCCCAACCAGTCCCACGTTGGCGAGGTATAAAATAAACATCATTATAACCAAGGACAGCCAGTTAAATTTTTCCAGATCATAGAACTGTGCGAAGTACGTGAAGCAGCCAAAGGCAATGCATCCGACTCCCACGCCCAGAGATGATATCAACATCAGGAGGCGTCGCCCCACGATGTCCACAAAGATGGTTGAGGTGTAAACACCAATAATTTGCACCAAACCTATGATAATCGTACAGGTGTTGGGATCCAGGACTGATCCTGATTTGGCGAATATATCTGATGTATAGTTGATAAAACAGAAAATCCCACTGAATTGGAATCCTGTGCAGAGAACAGTAGCTGCAGCGAAGCCCTTTAAGGCGGGTTTGGTGACTAAAAAAATCATTTTAAGTGTAGTTATTCGTTTTTATGTATATGCATGTTCTTACGTAAGTCTCTATAACTGAAATCGGAACCCAACTGCTGAGACAGAATAGAGGTCCGAAGCTCATCAAAGGCAACTTTCGATGATTCTCCATTTTCGTTTTTGTAATATCTAAAGGACTTTTCAGCCGCTCCAAGTTGGCTTCTCTTTAGGAGATATGGAGCTGTTTCAGGCAACATAAGACTGGCTATAAAGTAGGCCACTGGCACTATGAAGCCCAAGAAGGGCACCACATGATACGGTAGATAGGTACTGAGTATAAAGCCAGACAATACTCCAAAATCAACTGACAGCATTACCATTGAACTCAGGGCTCCTCGGATGCTACGGATGAATAATGTTAATGAAACATTTCTATAAAAAACATAAACTAACCTGGAATCTGCCACTTCACAGATAAAAATAGGCAACACCACATAGGCTGCACCTCCTGTGAAACCACACAGGAATCGTGATGCATACAGGAAATAAATATTCGATGCACAGTATATAAAAATCCAAAGGCACTAAAAGAAAAAACTTTTAATACAATATTTACTTTTTCGATACCCAACTCACTGCATATGGTACTGCCAGTAGATAAATGCAGAATTTCCTACCAGCTCGCTCCAGCAAAGAGGCCACAACCAGATTACCACAAACGCTGCCCAATCCCAGCATGGAGCCCATCCAGGAAATTTCATCTATGTTTACCTCAAATCCCAATGGGGACTCCGGTGTTTGGATTTTAGTCAAAGTCGGTGAGAGCCAACCCACACCAAATCCATGGCCAAAGGTGATAATGTTGACTGAATATGTAATTTTGGTTTGAGCTGCTATGAATGCATTTTACCGAAAATTCGACTCACCAATTACAGTGGCCAAAAGCTGATAACGTGTGTGAGGCTGAAGCAAGGAGTTCTTAAAAAATTTTGCCATTTCCCGCAAATATCGTGTATCTCAGAGGGTAGTTCTTCGAATGTAAACCCATTTTACTAACGGAATCAGGAAAAGTGCAAAAGCTCGCCAGGTAATTGTAAACTTTATTGCGTGTTGCTTGCTAACTGTTTGTATATAAAGATTAGTCTTGAGCTGGCAAACTCTTTTTTAAGCAGGTAGATTAGAATTGTCTGGTTTATTTTGTGGCACTCCGATTGACTAGAAGTGGGCTTAAGCCATTTCGCTTTTCAAGTCCAGCCTAGAAGTAGACTACATTTATTGCATAATAGTCAGATCACCCACCTCTCTGGGCTTTTATTTTTCTGTTTCTTTTTATTATTTTAATATTTTTCACAACTAATTTCAAGAATAAAAAATCGATTAACAGTTAATCTTAAATTATTTATTTAAAAAACTCTTTGGAATATCATAGCGAAATGTTAGAAGTCTCACATTTAAAGATTTAAATTCTGGAAAACAATATTTAATATAATATGTTGAATAGGTTTTAATATTTTTACTCTAGTTTCACATCCATTTTCGTTAACATTATTCATGAGTAAACCTTATCTCAATAGAACTTATCTAATCAAAGATTTTGCCTAGCTGAAAAGATCTTTTGTATGGCAACAGATGTTGGAAGATCAAGGTAGCAGGATAGACAACCGATTGTTCTGTGGGATGTTTTAGTATAACAATCATGCCACTGTATTTACTTTTAGAATGAAGGCTAGTTAAGTGGATTTTGATTTCGATTTTATTGAAAACAATAACAAAATTAACTATTAATACTAAAGGCTGGCCAAGATGGCTTCAACTGACTTGCCCTTGGTTTCGGGCACAAACACGGCGATGAACACAGCTGCTGAGAAGGATAAACTGGCGAACATGAAGACGGTCCCATGCATGCCAAGCGACTCAATGAAGGCGGGAATAAGCTGTTAGAAAAATAAATAAGGTTGAAGAACTCCTATGAACTTGAATAAATCTCACCTTGATGGCGCAGGTCGAAATCAACCAAAGCACCGACATGAGCAGCATTATCGCAGTGCTCCTAATCTTCTGCGGCATTATCTCCGATATCACCAGGAAAGGGCAAGGACAGCAGACCCACTGCGGCCAGGAACAACATGAACGAAAATCCGGCAATGGGCACCCAACTAAATGTCGACACATGCCATCCTAATACCTGGAAGTAGCTATAAATGCCCATGGCACTCTGGCCCAGTCCGATTCCCACTGCCGAAACCAGAAGCAATAGCTTCCGGCCCAATCGCTCCACTAACACAGTGGATGTATAGGTTCCAAGTAATTGGATGAAACCCACTATGATGGCAGCCATCGTAGGCTCAATGCTAGATCCCGCCTGCTTGAAAATCTCAGCTGTGTAATTCAGCATCGCGAAGCATCCGCAGAGCTGATTGAAGCTTATTAGTCCGAATCCGATCAGGAAAGCCTTCCGGGTCTTGCCCTCAGCTGGTTAGAAGAGATAAGAAAGATATTACCAAGTGGATTAGAAATCTCTAAAGAAATAAAAACAATCTGTAAAAGAAACTACTAATGTATCTTATCTACAATAATATTACGCATACGCACCGTTTACTATTAAAAAGTATTACATAAATTTGTTTGTATAAATTCAGTTAATCTGTTATCAAATGCTTTTGCGATTATTCATTCATGCTTTGTCATAATCTTTCCGAATCACGTATACGCACCGTATGCCAATGGCCTTAGATGACCCCATTTCAATTACCAATTCCAACCATAAGTGACAAGTAATTAATCAAAGATTAAGCATCATTGTTACTTTTAAAACTCATTTTTAAGGCATCCCCACCCTTTAGGGACGTATTTAGTCAAAAGACTAAAGACTCACCGAAGTCTGCCCATGTCACACCGGTAGCTTCATTATCGTCCCCATCAGCATCTGCATCGGATTTCTCAGTAGTCCTTAGTTTCTGCAGTTCCAGTTGCAGCTCCTCACTCAGTTCCTTGGCAGGATTCGTTTTAATATTTCGATAGTAGCGCAGAGAGCGCTCTGCCTCCTCGATCTTGTTTATTTTGGCCAGGTGCTGCGGAGTCTCCGGCATGAACCAGAAGCAGCCCACAAACACGAAGGATAACGAGGAGACAATCCAGGACACTTGGGCATAGTTGAAGTAGTAGCCAAGGACGAAGGCCAAAACCACCCCAGCATTGCAAGTTAGCACTAGAAAGACGCCCAAAGTGCCGCGAATGCTAAAACAAGGAAATTCATTAAATCCCCCATTAAGAAGCTGTAAGTAAGATCATACTTGTCAGATGCCAATTCAGCTATATAGATAGGAATCACTGTGAAACAGCCCCCACCAGCTGCTCCTCCAATAAACCGGGCGATGATTAAGTGCATCGGGTTGCGGGCAAAAGGTATGATTACCCAACCTAGCTATAAAATTACGTTATTCCAATTGCATCCTTTGAATTTGAATTCATTGACTAATTACCAGGTTTGGCAATGCCATCCACATTAGGCACCATTTCCTGCCAATTTTATCTGCCAGCCATGTAAACAGAAGGGTTCCAAACAGCCCTCCCAGGCAAATGTTCGACGCCACCCATCCCTGATCCCTACTTGTCAGAGGGCCTGTATCCAGAGGACTATCCTCTGCTGTCAGTTCCAAAAAGCTGGATGATGGCCAACCGCAAAATGCTCCATACGATATTGAAATTATATTTACTGTGCGAAAAATGATTTAAATTACATAATTTAGATAAATGCACAATTTAATTTTATTTTAAGAGACTCCAGTTGGACACTACAGTCTACTCTTTTTAGAAAGGATTTTACAACAAAATCGAAATTAATAATTCAACTTCGTTGAATACGAGTCTTGAGTAAAACAAACTTTCTGTGTAATCTGTATTTCGAGTCGTTAAATGAGTTTTGTCTGCCATTTGTGATTTGTGGTTGGTTTTTCACCTTTATTTATTTTTGTGAACTCTTTACTAACCACTTAAGGCAGCTAAGTACTGGTATTTGGAACCGCCGGCGGAACTCATTTTGTAAAAACGTTTTAGAGAAAACACTATTTCCCGTTTTTCATAGCCCGACGAGTCCTCTGCTTTAGTTCAGTATTTCGTTCTGGACCCGGACGTCAAGGGTCCGTAAGTGTTCGCGTTTAACTAAGCGAAACCAGTGGCTGGATGATAATGTTTATATATTGCATTAGATCGTAAACGAGCTTAGTTGAACTAGGGAGCGGAATGCGAGTTGCGTAGATTATAGACCGTTATCACTGCTCCATTATGCTCTGTGGGGAAATCGAGAGCAAAAGCGAATTCATTGTGTCAGAAAATAGTTAATTACAGCCCGGGGTGTTAATGTAAATTTGTTGTTGCTAACCCTCCGTCGATTACAATTATTTCTACGGCATTTGTTTGTTTTTTCCTGATTTGATATGCGTCGAATGAGAGAAGTCTCTCTCTCTTTGCTTTGCGGGTGCACTCCGTACTCCCATTTGGCCACCGAATTGAGAGGGACCATTGTAAATTACTCCCACCTCCTAATCGCGACAAATATTTGCCCAGTCAAGATACTCAGAGCAAACAATAGTCGCGCATTTAGCGTTTTTGGCAATCCCCCTAGGCCAACTCACCCATAAACGTGTAAATTTTGATTAGTCCGTTCCAACGGATTGCTTACCATGCTAAAATGTTGCGTGCTTCAGTGATCTTATACGTGCGAAGATAGGTGCATTTCGTGGCTACAAGGTACTATTTACCACCCTAAAATGATATTCAGAAAAATGAATTCATTTAAAAACAATTGTGAAATGAAATAAAAAACTAGTAAGGCGATTTTCCTTTGTTGATTCTTGTATTTGCCTTAAGAATACATTTACTTCTTAGAGTTCTTTCCTAAAGTTAATGCCCTTAATTGTTCGAATTAAATTTTATCTGATAAGATTATAAAATATATAACAAAATCTTAAGTGGTGGCGTGCTCTTGTCATATCAAATGACTAGATAGAAGTTTCCTGTCTGCAGATTTCAGTTGCTCTTTTAAAACTAACACGTTTACCAAATGCGTACAACATTTCATCGCAATATCTTTCAGAGACTTCTGTTCAGTATGGCAGGAGAAGAGCACTTACCGTAAGTTTTATCGCAAGTTATTCTCAGTTGGGGTAAAGTTGTATACGGAAAGGTTATTAGCAGACCGTAAACGAGATAAGACCCGTGGCCAAATATCAAGATTCGGGGTAAAAGATAAGGCTGTGAACCCAAAATTTGAGTGACGTTGGCGACATATTACTCTTTTGGATTCCGGATCTTGCCGTTGCCAGCCGGATAAGTAATAACTATTTTTCATGTTGACATTGCATACTTTTGTGAGCAAATTGGTTGTAACGAAAGGTAAATAGTGCTACATTCATCATGGATCTACTTTCATCCCTATTAAAAACTATACTTTTAATCTCATTGTTTGTTTGTTTTCATTTCATTTAATACTTTGGTAAGCGCTTTAGGGCACATTAAAACTAAATAAAAATATTAATATCGTAGTAAAGCTAACAGGAGTAAGCACTCGAGCATCTCAGATGTGGGTGGCGATGTGTCCGTTGGTCACCGCCGTTCCCTTGGCCACTCCGCCATCGTCCACATAGCCCAGTTCACGTTGCACCGCCGAAGGACGACGGTTGCGCGTTTCCGGCAAAAGTGGTAGTGAAATCAGACCCACGAATATTGAGGCGCCGGCAAAGACCCACAGGTAAAGTACCAGACCCGGAGCAATTGTGGCCTTTATTGCATTAAATGCCTGTAAGTAAATCGGCTTTTGAAATTCTGCATATAAGGTATTGTTGAATTTACACCCACCTCTATCATGCCGAAGAGCAGCAGCCAGGAAACAGCAGATGCCAATGAATACAGCAAATCATGAAGCTGGAAAATAATGTAATTAATTTTTTCATATACTCGTATACGTGGGTTGCGAAACCACATTTCTCGAGTATGCTTAATTTCGTTGAAAATTCACGCAGCTATGCAATTCTTCAGAACATGAATGAACTCAGATAACAGCATTTACGCATAACATTTTAAATAAAATGTAATACTTGTAATCCTAATAAGAATCAGAGAAACTAATATCTTAATGGATTTTCTGAATGAATTCACTCACCTTAGTGGGCAATACTTCGCTGCTAACAACAGCAGCCAAAGGATAAAGACCGAAGCTGACAAAGGCGAGCTGAAAAGCCAGGAGGATGATTGGCAAATACTGATCCGCCCAGGTGCCCAGCAGCCAAAGCTTTCCGTAAACCTTGAACACTGCCAATGCCACTACTGCCGCTGCAGAAAAAAGAGAGGAGAAGCAAAGCAGGAGCTGCAATGGTAGAAATTAACTCAGGATTAATTCTGGGAAATGACGGGTATCTACAGTGGAATACTAATTTTTATATAATTATATACATTATTTCGAAATGTGATATAATTAAAGGAAACATTAATTAATATAAGATTTTGAAATACAATAATAAATGTTAATTAGTTATTCATTATCCTTTGAAAATGTGAAAAGACAAACTAATATGAAAGATGTATTCTTCAGTGGATATGATAGACCAAGCTTGGTATATAAAAAGCACTAACCTTTCGCGGCAACCGTGGACCAACGAGGCGGGCAAGGAGTGCTCCGAAGCACTGGGCGCTGGCCAATACCACGTAATTAGTTTCTGTGGAATACCCTGTTCGTCCAAGGAAATCCGCAGCATAGTTTAGCTCCACAAACACACCACTCAGCTTGGCACAGACGGTCAGTAAAAAGCTGACGAAAGTCAACCGGATGATATATCCATGTGACATGGGTGTCGAGCCCACATTCTTGGCCTTGCTGTTCAGTTCAGCCTGAAACTCAGCCAATTCGCTAAGGTATTCGGGCTTCTTGCGATCATCAATATCCCTGATGCCACGATACCATCGCAGTGACTTCTCCAAGCTGGCTACATTATTCCTCCGTAGATAGTAATGCGGACTCTCCTGTACGAAGGGGAACGACATGGTGAACACAAAGGACACGGCACATCCCACGATATTGACCAGGTCGTAAGGCAAGTAGAAACCCAGTCCGAATCCAATCAGGATGCCCAGCGTCCTCCACAGCTCGATGGTGAATGTAAGCCTGGCGGCTTTTTCCCTGGACTCCGCGATTTCGTTAATGAAAATTGGAAGCACGACAAAACCAGCTCCAGATGCCACGCCCGCAAACATACGAGAGGCGTAGATGTGCACTATATCGTAGCCAAAATGAATGCAAGCCCAGCCGGACTGGAAAAGAAGGAAAATGTTTTGATGTTAAATTTTATGCAGCTTTTTTCTATTTCTAAGAATTTCGTTATTTTGACTCCAACGAACATGAATAATTTCCAAAGAATATTATCATGACTTTCAAGTTCAAGAGAAATACTATTTTGCTAGGTAAAAAAAATGTAAATAAATTTTCGTTAGCATTCCGAAGAATGTTCAACATCGATTTGACTTACGATTTGAAGTAGTCCAGAGCAGAGCAACACGGACTTGGGTCCAATTCTTAAAGCCAGTACTCCAGAGATAAGGGCTCCAACGGCGGCACTGAGGAAAAGGTATCCCGTCAGCCACGCAGTTCCCGCCGGATCGGTGGCCTCATTTAAAGGGGTCCGTTCCTCCGACTCATAGAGAGCCATATGCGCCGGTGTGATGCCAAACATAAGGCCAAAGTTAAAACAGATAATATTGCCTGCAATGAAATATATATACTTATAAAAAATGTCATTAAAATCCTTATATTTATCAATTAATTTAATTATTTTCAAGGCCCATAGGCTTTCTTAATTAATCACTATGAAGACTAACTTTGCTTAAGGTCAATTTAACAATCTTACCTAAAGCTGTGGCAATACTCTGTATTGCAGGGCCACCCACTCTTTCCGGCAGACACATGCTGATGGGATCCGAAGTAAATAGCTCCTGAATTTAATATCCACTGGCGACGGTCCTTAAGAAGGTGAGGCTTAAGGGAAAACACCTGCCATTCGCTGCACTAGCTACTTAACTGAGAAGCAGTTAATTGATGCTGTGGGGTTTTATGGCCGTGGAATCGGCGGCTCTATCTCGCCCTCGCCTGCAGATAACGACCCTATTATGCGCCACCAGCTGAACTCCAATCTGTGGACTACAAACGACCGGAGACTGTGTCCGGACGTGTTTTCGTATAGTTGGCAGGTAAGATGGGCGGGATGAGCAATATGCAGGTATATATTTGCCCAACGTGAGTATACAGACTGATTTGGCGATAAGATCTGAGTACGTCTGCCTTGGCTTCTAGTTTTGTTTATAGTGAAATCTAAGGGTGGCTCACAATGCAAGCGATTGAAATGATGTTAATTAAAACCAAACGAACCAATTAGAAGCAATTGACAATTAATTGAAAGGAAAATAAATATTAAATTAATGCTGTAGACTTAAAAGTAGGCTTTTGTTAAATAGCAAAAATAGTTCTCCGAATAACGCAAAATTAACTGTTGTTATTTCGCGAAAGCTTTTTTATTAAATATATCAAAATGAATTTTATATAATTTCAAATTCGATATATGACTTTTTATCGATAGCGATAGTGATATCGAAACCGAATCTATACTGCTCTCTAACATCAGTCTACTGTCAATTTCTGTCTGATATTTAACTTGTTTTATTGTGTTTGTAATTAAAGGATTACTATATACATATAACAAAAGTAGTAATATATGCTTATACTCTCTTATTTTTCGCCTTATAAAAATTTCCAACCTGATAAGTTTTACCCATTTATTTGAATTTTCCGCTCGGCAAAGGGATAAGACTATACCGATAACGATAGGTGCGATCACCGCTGTCCAAATTCTGAAGTCTATAAAACGCAGCCAACAACAGCTGATTTGTACTTTACCGCGAGTTTTTGTCTTTGATTTAGTTTTGGCATTAATTTAGGATTTTAAATCTATTATTTGGTACACAATGGACAAGGAGCTGTTTATTAAGCAATTCGCTTCCTGTGAAGCCACACTCCAAACAAAAGGAGCCTCAAATATCGATAAGCAAAATGCGTGGCGCACACAAATGCTGTTGCTCTGTCAGCAAACCAGGTTAAAATGTTTTAAATTCCCAGTTTTAAATACAAAGACCTAACGTCTATTAATGTCCAGGCATAGCACCAACTCCACCCACTTTGCAGTCTTACAAGAACACATCGACAAACATCAAAAGCACGAAAGCACAGAGCAAATAATGACAGAACGCCTAAAGCGATGCCGGGGGACAATAAGAACGAGTCGCAGGACGAATTCGGAGATTATATGTGCAGATTACATGTTCCAAGTTCCCCAGGACACTTCGTTTGAGCCGAACTGCAGAACTTCGTATGAGAGCTGCCAAAAAGAAGAAATCACCTCAAGTGACCTGCATGCTCTGACCAGTGAAAATCCAAAAATGCCAGTAAAACAGAGTCCAGTAGTGCACTTTTCGACACCAAAAACCAATTCAGAAAAGTCGGGTAATAAACAGCTAGAGCGACTAGATGATTCAACACAAAATGGATTTGGCTTTCGCACTGCACGAGAGCAACTAATCCTTGACGATTTGAAGGTAGGTCCTTACTTCCAGGAGTCACAGCTGACTTAGTTTTTGAAAAAATTAGACTTCAAGTCAATACTACTACAACGACTATTGCCTGTTACTGGTTTTTCAATTACCAGAAAAACAAACAACAGTCAGTGAGCAACTTGAATGCATCTCCATCAGACATGATGAACTTTGGCAGAAAAACACTGGGAGGAAAACGAACTGTTAGCTCAAACTTTGTATCGCCAGTGGGCCGTAATGAGAGCTCTGCTATCTCGTGAGTGAATTTCATGCTAGCCCTGTCCTTTCCACTTTAATTTTATTGAATACACTCGTGTGCAGAAGTTCCAGCAAATTACCTCCAGCCCTGGGCCACCTGGATCCCAAGATGGTGGACCAAATTCTCGGCGAAAGCATGCACGATTTCAAACCTGTCGGTAAAGTATTTGATATTAAGCTTTAAATATATATCCAATGCATTTCAAATGCACATGTGTGTCCATTTCAGCATGGGAAGATATTGCCGGGTTGGAATCTGCCAAATCAACATTCCTAGAAGCCATTATAATGCCACTACGGCGCCCAGATTTATTCACTGGTGTGCGGTGTCCACCTCGAGGCGTTCTCTTATTTGGACCACCTGGTACTGGCAAGACCCTTATAGCTAAGAGTATTGCTTCCCAAGCCAAGGCCAAATTCTTTAGCATCAATCCATCTACTCTGACCTCCAAGTGGGTGGGGGATGCCGAGAAGCTAGTAAAGACATTGTTTGCAGTTGCCGCTGCCCATCAACCAGCCGTAAGTGATGCCTGATTGTACTTTGAGTTACTATTGTGCATATGATTTTCAGATTATATTCATCGACGAGGTTGATTCCCTGCTATCGAAGCGTTCGGGGAACGAGAACGAGAGCACTCTGCGCCTAAAGAACGAGTTTCTCATCCACTTGGATGGCGCCGCTAGCAATGAGGAGATTCGAGTATTGGTAATTGGAGCCACTAACCGACCGCAAGAATTGGACGAGGCAGTACGAAGGCGATTCGTACGACGGCTTTATGTGCCGCTACCTACAAAAGAGGCGCGAAAGAAAATCATAGAAAAGATTATCCGGCAGGTGAAGCACAGCCTCGATGTAATGGAAATTAACGAACTGTCGGAGTTAACTGATGGATATTCGGGAGCGGATGTAGATACGCTCTGCCGCTATGCATCAATGGCTCCTCTTCGCTCGTTGACACCTGATCAAATGGAGGTCATAAAAACACATCAGGTAAGCACTGCACCATTTGAATACATGAAAATTTTCCAACTACGAGTGTACAAATTCCTATAAATCGTGTTGAAGCATGACAGCCCTAATATGTCTGATTATTTTTAGATTTAGAAAGTTTGTCTTTTCTATTACTTTTAATTAGTTTCTGCAATTAACTTCTGCCATTAATTATCGTTGATTCCACTCCCAGCTGCCCGCCGTAACCATGGATGACTTTAGGCAGGCTCTGAGGGTAATATCGAAGAGTGTTTCTGCAGAGGACTGTAAACAATTTGAGGCATGGAATGATGTATATGGCGTACGACATTAAAGTTGCACTAAAATTCTTTTTTGATTTTTATTAATACTTTGAAGTAACGAATAAATGCTATGTAAAGACTAATAGTAAAATGTGAAATACAATTAATTTCACAATATTTCCAACGTTGAAACTCACAGCACATCAAAATTACATTCGTATACAACAGACTGTGAAGTCTGCTTAATAAAATATCTTAAAAACTAGAGAGTCAAGGAATATTAATGGATGTATTTGATTTTAAATGAACATAAACTTTGTTCAAAACTAATCCGACAATCTACAACTTAATCAATACTAACTAAAGTTTTACTTATTGAAAAACTTTGTTCCACACTTTAAACTCAGCTGTAAGCACACAGAGACGGAGATGTTTGTACATTAAGGATAGTCGAGTACCAAGATACACTTATAACAATTATCGAATAAGGACGCTAAAGACAACATTACAAGCCAAACGATTATCAATTAAGGACATCTACTTATACTTAGTTTATTCTCTATTCTCACTAATCGGCGGAAAGACGTAATCATCACTCAGACTGTTGATGTCCACGTAGGTGGTCTTTGGACTGAGGACTCTGTACAGGGCGTCGAAGGTGGGCCGTTCCTCGGGCTCCTCCAGCCAGCATTGCAGCATAATGGTGTACACCTGCGGTGTGCAAATCTCCGGTCGCTCCAGACGGTTTCCAGCCATCAGAAATGGGATGAGCTCGCTGTTGCTGATCGTCGGGTAAGGCGAGGCCCCCAATGTACCAATCTCCCATAGCACTACCCCGTAAGCCCAGATATCGCTCTTGCTGGAGTAGACATTGTCGCGAATTGCCTCTATAGACAACCAGCGAAGTGGAAGCTTTATCATAAAAGGGGAAAATACCATAAAATGTGTATTTAAATTATCAGCTATAAACAAGATATAAACCAATCTTAATATTACCTTTCTCGTCCTTGTATTCGTGTATATTCCATGTCTGGAAAGCCCGAAGTCTGATATTTTCAGGGTCTTGTTGCTGTCAATCAATACGTTGCGGGCAGCCAAGTCGCTGTAAAGGAAAACTCAAAGTAAAACCTTTTCGCAGAATATCTACTGGTAGCCATACCGGTGCGTTATTTCCTGCTCTTCTAGAAACCGCATGCCATTGGCAATTTGCAGAGCGAAATTGTGAAGCTCTTTGTTGTCCAGTATATACTCAAAGACATCGTCGTCCTCCACAGTAGTGTAGGTGGCTGTATTATAAAAAAATTTTTCATTATTTCGTTTCAATTAGGAATTCAGAAAAGCTTACTCTCGGCAAAGGAGGGATTTGGTTGCCGGGGACCATTTGAGATTACACTGGAATCTTCCAGTGGCAATTCAACGGTCTGGCTTGATGCCTTCAATTCGATGTAGTTCACGCTGTGCGACTTTGGCGAAGAAGTACCATTAGTCCTGGTCGAAAGAGGTCTACAGGACGTGTAGTTGGCATTTCTGTTCTTCAGTTTGCTGGCCTCCTGGCGAACCGTTCGCAAATAGTTCAGCTGAAGCCAAATCGATTGAAATTGAGATTGTTACTTCAGCAAAATGTGTTTTTGTTAATTACCAAGTTGCCCTTTGCCCACGTACTCCATGATCATCAGGTAAGGTGGCTTGATGGTGCAGCAGCCCAGGAAACAGACGACGTTATGGTGCGTTCCCACGCCCTTGAGCATCTCTATCTCGGCCAAGAACTCTGCCACCTCATCCGCCTTCGGATTGGCTAAAAGGAAAGGTTTAACCTTCTACCTCTTAATCTTACGAGGGTCCTTAACTCACGTTTAAGCTGCTTCACTGCCACAATGGTAGTGCCCCTCATCCGGCGCAAGTTAATAGCATTGGCCTCGTGCACTTGACCAAAGGCTCCTTCGCCCAAAATCCTCCCAATTTGAATGGCCGAATGGGGAACCTCGAATATGTCTGCTAGCCCGAGGACCTGCGATTTCTGGAATGGCATTCGGGGAAATATTAGGATTACTGAGCATGGAAAAGCTGACGTCAATCACCAACCTCAACGTACTTGTCCACATAGTTAACATTATCCTCCATCCTGGAAGAAAAAAAGACACCTAGGGATTAGCAAAAATACGAAATTGCAACTCCATCCAAAACTCACTCAATGGCAGAAGCGGCAAAGGTTTGTATGTAGATCTGCTCCTGTTTTCGCAGCTTGGAAGTTGCCCTGGCCCTTCGCCGACGGACTAGCAGCATAATCAAGCCAGCCAGGATTATGGCAATCAGCATGCCGCTCATGACAATTATGGAGTTGCTCTGCTCGGAAAACCATTTGGAAAATTCAGACCGTATACTTTATAATATATTTATCCTGGCTTACCACACTGTCACCTTCGGTTAGCAGGACTGGATTGGCGGGCACTTTTTGAATAAAGAATTCAAATGTTAAATTAATGGGATTACCTTGATGAATGGACTAACTAACCTGGCACTTTGGTAACACTACGTAGCCCCTCGCAGCCCGAAGGATCGATAATGACGGCCTGCAAACTGATGGAGGCCTTCTCCTTGAGCTGCGTTCCCAATCCCAGCTTCACGGTGCCCTCAAATCCCTTGGGAGTTGGCCTGAAGTTGAGTTCGCTGAGTGTATAAACGCGGGTCATCAGGTGCTTCAATACCCCGCCCCAGGGAAGCGAGGGGTTTGTTTCCTCATTGATTCTAAAATTCAAATGTTTTTACTCATTAGTGCTCATTATACTCTGCTTAATTAATAATTTATCGGAAACCACAACATGAAATTCCTATTCATTTCCTTTGAAAAATATCAGAGTTCGGAAACAATGTTAAACAGACTGGAATTTTGCCTACCACATGAATTTTCAGGACAGTTTGCAAGTTGAGTTCAACATGATGATTAACAATGCTTGGTGGACTTAATGAAATTATCTGTTATTATAATCTGTATAATATGCAATAAGTTTTAATTGCTAGTATTAATAACACAATTCTGATTCAATTTGCAAGACTTCAAGACACTTTTGAGTTCCAATTCCTGCTGCAACTACTCACTTTAATTGCATTTTGTAAGATTTTAATGTTTCGTGCAGGTGGGAGCCCTGCTCCTTACGCAACAGCTCGCTGGCTAGGATCGATATGTTGATGCTGATTGTGTCGTTACTGAGCATTTTGGCCATTGCCAGGACCTTTGGTGGTGATGGCGCTAATTGGCAGGAGCACTTGCCCTCGAGGCACTCTGTTTCAAGAAACAAAAATTAATAACTATGTAAGATTCCAAAAGCAAATCTTTTTTATTATTTGGGAATTCTATTTGCTTTTAGAAACAATTTCAAGTGATTCCAAGAAACTCACGTGGAATATAGACGCGGGCAGATCGCCTCACCATCGCATTGGACGTCTCCACAATGACCTGGTACTGGCAGCCGAACATGTAGTTGCAGTCCACAGACTCCACGTTCAGGTTGGGATTTACGGGCAGGTAAATGAAGTGCGGCCCGGGACTGACCTTTTTCTGTTTGATCCCGTACTCGCTGCACGGCGCATCCGGGCAACGGCTGTTGTTCACGGCGCTAACAAGGACGTTGTAGGAAGTACCTGTAATCGAGTGAAACCATTTTTCATTTTTTTTTATTTGGAGAGAAAAGCACTTACCTTCCGGCAGATTATCCTGCCACCGCACTTGCAGGCGTGGAATTTTCTCCATGTAGAGCGTAACATTGGTGCTTAGCTCTGTGATTTCCCCATCAGGTGTGGGCTGTAAAATTTAAAGTAATCGGCGGGACCCCCAAAGAGTTATACATAAAATCAGAAATGGTTTTAGCTTTTAAATTTGACTTAAATGCTAGTGCATTAGTTAATACTTATAATGATTTCAGAACTTTGTAAGTAATTGCTTAATTAGCAATTTATATCTCAAATTTACTCACATGTAGACGCATCCTCGTTACAGGTTCCTGCATTTTTGTGCCTGGCAAACTGGTCACGTACCGATGCACTTCCATCGGAGCAGTTTGTAGTTCCTGAATTTGGACCAGTGATACCATTGTCGGATTGCTGGGTGTTGTGTTGTTTTCCCAAGAATCTTGGCCCACGGCCCTAGATGCTACCACCAGCAGGACGAACAACACAATCCTATTTCGAATAAGGTTCCAGTGATGCATTCTGATGGGTGCGTTTCCACATTATTGACTGCGATCACTGCAAGAAAGATGAGGAAAAATATGACAAATTATTAAACACTATATGCCAGTAAATTTCAGTTATAAAGTTTGTAACTGAGTTCACTAGAAAAAATAACAATCAAGTAAGAAATACGAGTATTTCAGACAATTTACATCAAAACAAAATCGTCTGATGTCGCTCTCATGGTATTTAATTAATCGATTTCGGACGCCACATTAAAAGTGAAAAGTAAAGTCACGCAGGAAAAACCGTTTGTCATTCGCGTTCGCACCCCGGGGTTTCACTCCCAGGTCGGAACGTCAATTCCAAAATGCGCACACAAATTATGTCACTTAATACGACTGTAAACAAGGATGGAAACTACGCAGGTGTGGAAATGGTACAAATTCAAACAGGACACTTAATTAATGATTGCCGTAGCTTTGGCGTTTTACGACCCCAGAAGCTAAATGAAGTGTGTCCTGCACTACCCAAATTCCTTCCCAATTTGAGCCACAATGCGAAGCCAAACTAATTATTCAGGGCTTCGAGCAAGTTGAACAAATATTTGTGCAGGAAACTGCCCTTTGTTGCTGATTGAAGTTGAGAAATAGAAGCTCTAAAAGTAAGAATAAACCTTAAAGTAGTCAACTGCACTCAAATAAGTTGTTTTTCCGAACAGTGAACACAAAGCGACACCTTTTCAGGTGATTGCACATTAGCCTAGCAGGTGTCCCCATCCTCTTATCAATAAGTGTGCCTTTATCACCATAAACATCGACACTTAAAAGTGTGTTCGGTTAACAAGTCAATTTCGTTAAACGACCGGTCAAGTGGAAAGCTCAAATGTGTTTCGGTCGTCCACACCCTTTAAAAGTGATTCAAATTAAAGAAGTTTTATGGGATTGCGTAAGAGAATTCTTTTTAAATCTTTCATTAATAGAAATCAACTACAAGTTAAGGAAAATATTACGAGTGGGAGGAAGTTAAACGTTCATTTTTGGTTAGTTCTTAAAATAATCAATGTAATCAAAGCAGAACGGTCAACGGAATAACTTATCGGTAATAATCCAAATGCCGCTGATAGAGCTTAATCGATTGCCTACAGATGTGTATAAGTAGAGTATTTAACGACTGCGTTCATAAATTTTAGCAAAAATAGGTGTCTGTATTGATTAATAATAGAATAAATGGAAAAAATGGGTTCCATCCTGGCGTAAAAGGGTGATCAACTCTCAGTTTTCGGGAGTCATAAATAACAGTCCACGCCTATCAGTGATCCTATCGGTATCGCAATCATAATGATTCAGCAAGTTGCCCCTTATTTATGCCTCGTCTCGATATTTCCAACGACCTATTCCAAGAACACTCGACATTTCCTTGACTTTAAACCAACTTCTGAAAAACTAATTTGGCAATAAAATGGTTTTACTTCTGGAATGAAAAGTACGTACCAAATTATGAACAGCACCAGCAAACGAATTAAGTTGTTTGGAAACATTCGAAACATTGAACATTAATACAAGGATATCTTAAAGTTTTCAGAAAGTACTTAATTAAATAAGTTTGCAATTTTAATGCACATCATTAGCTTACATGACAAGGCTTCTTATCCGTTTGAAGAATAAGTTTGCCATGATTTTCAATTAGTATCAACAGATTGGAGGTAATCTCTCAAAAGCGAGCTTTTGCAAGGGATTATATAAACTTTAATTAATTAAGGGCAATGACATATGCTATTAAACTTATTTTGTACTCAATTTCCCCAAAATTAAGGGTCTTCCTTCCCCTAGCATAGCACCTGCACATGTCTAACACATCCGCCGCTGGTGGGGATTAATGCGAGTGCTGATGAATAAAAATGCCAACAAAACTAATTGTTTGCACGACATTAGATGATGACCGGTAGCTGGTAGCCGGGTCATAAATTAAGCCCTGTCTGCTCCGCTTTTTTATTGTTCCCAGCCCGTGCTTTGTTTTGGTTTAATGCCCCCCCCCGACAAAGGAAAACCACAACATGGGAACTTCTAACCATCTGAACTTTATTTTTCAAAAGATTAGTCATACATAGAACGCCCCTTGGTCTCCTCCAGGCAGACTACCACGTAGAAGAGGCAAATGGCACTGACGGCGCCACAGAACCACATGGTGGCCGCCAGGCCCAAATGGAACATCATCAGCGGGAAGGTCTTCAGCGAGGTGAAGGCGAAGAAACTGAGGCAGCCCAGGCAAAAACTGGTGGCCACCGCCCTGATCCTTTGCGGTAGAATCTCTACCAAGACCACCATCGTCACCGAAATGACACCCACATTAGCTATGAAGATGATGAAGGCCATTAAGGTCACGGGCAGCCAAGCGGAAAATGCCGCAAGTTCTTCTTCCTGCTCCTCCGCAAAAAAGGCGTACAATCCAAAGGCGGAGGTGCCAATTCCACTACCGGCACAGGATATGATCAGCAGGATCCTGCGGCCATGACGATCCACCAAATATATGCTGGCCAAAGTGCCCAGGATCTGCACAGCTCCAATGATAATGGTGCTCGTATTGGGATCCAGCTGGGTGTGCACCGCATCAAATATGTTGGACATGTAGTTGATGAAGGCGAAGGTGCCTGTGAAGATGTTGGCTATCATCAAGACCAGACCCGTGGCCAGGGCCTTTAGGGAGCGCTTGGTGACTGCAGGGATATTAAGTTATATAAGTTAAGTTCAATAGTTCTCGAAAACCACTTACGGAAATCGGAAAGGGCAAGACTGTTGTCATCGGTGTCCTTGTGTTGCTGTTGAATCGCAACTCGCATCTCATCGAACTGTTTCTGATAGGCCCGCTCCTCCTCCTTGGGAACATTGGGACCGTCACACCGACGATAGAACCTCAGGGAACGCTCGGCTTCCTCCTCTCGCTGCCACCTAATCAACTGTTGCGGTGGCTCCGGATAACGAGTGGCCAAAATCACATATAGGAGACAGGCAGACCGACCACGGCACAAGGAATCACGTGGTAAGCAATGTGCGAGGACACCACAAAGCCAACCATTATTCCCGTATTCATCGTGAGGGTGAAAAAGGAGCACAGACGACCTCGAATGCTAAGGAACGGTGGTGGTAAAAGTCCATTATCGAAAAAGTAAATTACGAAATTCGACCGCAATTTTCGACATTTGTTCGTATCGAATGCCAAATGTGGTTATATTAGAGATTACATAATGTTATTTAAGAATTTTCCAAATTGTATAAAAAACAACACCAATAGCACGCATACGCCATGTTAGACTGCAACACTGGGCAATATAGCAGTTCTATGGCTTGCTAAAAGAACTCTATTGTAAATTTCGATTGACTTGATTGGAAACAGATGGCTTACAAAAAAGTTCAATAAAATTGTTCACGTGTTCCATTTCCTTACCTGTTGTCGGCGATTTCCCCGATGAAAATTGGTAGCACGACGAACATTCCACCGCCAGTTAGACCAGCACACACCCGCGCCACATAAAGCCACTCGATGCTCTGGGCGAAGTAGAACAGGAACCAAATGCACTAGGTTCATGAGGAATATCATCAACATGACATTTTAAGTCCCATCAACATTGCACTAAAACTCACCGTGTGGGGAACTGCCAGAGCGTAAATCGACACTTTCCGGCCAAAACGGTTCATTATGTAGGAAAAGGAGAAGTTCCCGGAAATTCCACCGATGCTGATGACAGCTCCTAGCCAGGAGGCCTCGGCCACGTCAATCCAGAAGGGCAGAGGCGTCTCTTCGCTGGACATCAGCTTTGGCAGCATGGGCGACAGCCAACCAAGGGCGATGCCATGGCAGAAGGTTATCAGCGTGGCTACAAGAATATTTAGATCAACACATGACATCATCTCTGAAGAGCGAATCAACAGCTCAAGTGGCTCATTTGCATAGGCACACGCGTGAAATTGGAAATTGAAATTTCACCCGTCAACTTTGTGTCAACTTTTTGGGCGTGTGATGAGAAGCCTTTAAGTGGGCGGCGATTCATGGCTTCCACAAATCTGCTTTAAGCCTTCCAAGTTCTTTGTCCGCAACATGACATGGATTCGCAAAAGACCCAAAACTTTCCACTACCCAGTTGAGCTGTAAATCCGTCTTATCATCATGAACATACCACTCAAAGAGACCAACAGTTGGCGGCGGAACTGCGGCTGAAAGATGCCCGATTGGAATATGTTGAGCAGCATCCTTCCGCTTGATCCTTGTGAGAATCCTTTGGTTTTAAATAACTAAGTTTACTTATAACTTATAACTTCTACGGGTTGATCCTTGGATCTTGTATATCACAGTTTGAGGGCTTCGGTGGAGAGCAGATCCTAGGTTGCCTTAAAGGTCTTGGGAGAAAACTTTAAGCTCCGGTATTCTTTTTCCATGCTCTGTGCCCTTGAGGGTTGCTTGAAGGTAACTTGAACGGAGTAACTGTCGTCCAAAAATGGCTTGTGAAATAGGCGCCGCAGCCCCATTTATACCAAATTCGTATCTAAATCTGTGGGTAAACAGCTACTATTTCATCTAAGAAACAGCCAACGATTACGCAGTTTGCGAGTATGGAGGCAGCGCCAGATTACGGGATCCATCACAGCGCTTGTCTGGGTGGGCGGTGGCCCACCGGAGCTGTTGCTCCGTAATGCTCGGCACACATCAGTAAATCTTCCAAGCAGGCGTCGCGTCATGTCTTGGCTCCTCCAATTATGGACCAAGTTCACGACTTGTTGGCAAACGGAAACGAGTAAATAAAATTCCGCTTCAGCTGTGACATCTTCGCTCGGCTGGAGTTATGTTCCGCGGGTTCGGTTATGCAGTGGATTCCCTGACCTACGCGCACTTGTTTGCACTCCAAACAGCATTTGCGTAGTACAAATAATAAAACATGCGCGCTTTAAAGGCGTCACTTAATGTGTTTTAGAGGCACACTATTACGTTGTACTAACACTTGGGGTGACACTGTTATTAGATTCGAACGCGCACGTGGTGATACTTTTCTAGGCCAAAAACGAATGTTTGGGAGGAAGTGTTTGCTTTAAAATCATTGAATTACCCTCTGATGATTCAGAGGTAATTCACATAAATTTCTTTACAATTTTCTTTTCTTATGATTCCTAGTTACCAAGTTACCTGACCTAGGCTAATTTATTGGCACCATTTACGTAGTAAGAAAAGTAAAATGAGGCACAAGGACTTAGACTGTTGAGATATAAATAAAACGAAGTTACCTTGGCAATATATTTAATAATATTATTATTTAAAAAGAGAACCGTTCTTAGACTTATAAGGAGTTTTAGAAGTTCTTCCTTTTGTCACTCGGCCAATTAATCGGTATTGCTGGGTCCAAAGTTAACAGAACGCTTGTATTTTCCCACAGTATAGTAAACTTTATAGAGGGGCACTAAGATAAACATGTTTTTTGTTTATAGATAACAATCAAAATATTTGGTTGGATGAACTAATTTACCGCACTCCGATGTGTCGCTTCACAGCTAATTGCAGCGAACAACATATAACAAATTTCAAAAACATACAACTATGGTTTTCCAATGTTTTTGGAACAACATACGTAGTCGTACTCTGTATATGTATCATTTAGGAAAGATAAGAATCAAGCAAATGGCTTCGTTTTTACTGCCCTGATATAATGATGATGATTTAGTATGGACTTTGATTTGTCAACAACTCCTGATTATGGTTTATGATTTCTGCCAATGGTGTGGACCTACGAACCTTACGTCAAAGAGGTCCTTTTTCTCTAGTCATGAGTGAGTCATTTTAAAAATTTAAAATGATTCGTTTTAGGCTATAGCTCAACGGCTTACTTAACGCCATACTCACTTTAGCAAAGTGACCAGCACATTCTGTACATAAGCAGTTTGAGATTCAATACCTCCCACATTTGAGATTCAATATCTCCCACATCTCCCACATGACGCATTTTAACCATTTTGGGGAGGGAAACACACACTGTAGATAACAGATTGTAAGAGAAATGGAAGCCTGTCAAGAGTTTTTGTGTGAAATCGCGTGATAAGTGCAAAGAACATGGCAATCAATAAGAGAAACTTAGCTAGTCGCAGAACATACATAAAATTTCCAGATATTATGTGCTCTAAATAAAGCCCATTAATAGCCTTGTCACCCTCTTAACGTGAGGTAGGTGCCTTGACTCCGATTCTGTCTAACCACCTGACATCTAAAGCTCTGCAAAGACCAGACCAAGACGAGGAGTACTCATAAATTAAATGCCCTGTATTTTAATCAATTGATAAGTTTCTGGCACTGGTAACTAAGGGCCGGCGAGCAAACAAAAAATGAGTTCAGTTATGAAAACCAAAGTGTAGTTAAAACAAAAAAATAGAAAGTGTGTAGCGGCTTTTTAACAATTTCTGGTCATACCTGAGCTATATATTCTGATGACAACTTAAAATGCCGGGATAACCCAGCTGGGATCAGGAATTCAATCTTTTTTTGCCATCGATAGTTATAAAATGGAAAATATATACCTGTCAAGAGCAACGACTTTAAGCCCTTATCTGAACTGCTGTTTTTACCTGGGACCTGAGACTGGGGGCCCACATTTGATAGGAGAATGTGTAGAAATTCAGTGCTCTTGAGTTTTTGGGCTCGATTCGAATTTCGGTCGCGTCATCGTACGGGCTTTTTTCTAATCGTTATCGCCCACTCGATTTATTGATAAGTTCAATTTGTTTTCCATTTCACGGCAACTTGAACAATTTGTTTTGGTTTGCCGATTCTGTTGGGAAAAAGTACACACAGCTTTCAACAGCCGCTAGCAAAGACCTAATACCTTGCGTGTTGCTGAGGCCCAAATGTGAAGAGCCCATGCGAAAATGATAAAATAGGCGTTTATGGTAATTTAAAAATATATTGCCAAGGAGTTCATAAAATAATGTATAACTAATTTCGGTTATTTCGGCTATTTCGGTGCAGACTTTGAATGATAAGCCACCAACAAACCAAACAACTTAAGTGCCCGAAAATGGACTTTACACTGGAGATGAATGTGCGCAAGCCATCGAACTGGTTGAGTCCAGATATAGGTATATATGTCCATATAATATATTTTGGAAATTCCCACTAATTGTCGAGGTATATCAGCAATATAACCAAACCAATTAATTTCGGTCTCACAATTTTGCAGTGGTCAATGGTCAGTGACGAGGTCGAATTCAAGGTAAAAACTAATAAAGTGGGTTCATTTTAAGGACTGTCAAATACATTTATATGCAGAGAAACAGATACTAAGAACTAATCGATAACATCATAAATTATCGAATTTCCATTTTGGAAAAAGCATGGCAAAAATAAACGAAAGACCCTTGAAGTTGGTGTGAGTTTCATCGACCCTGGACTTGTTTGCCATATGCGGCAGCCTTTTAAAGCTTTGAATGTCTGGGTCCAATGGCAACTACTCGTAAAATAATTGATGAGATACTACGACGACCGCCATTATATACAAACATTTAAGTGTGTTCGTGAGATAGTACAGAAAACACACTGAAGAGAAAACAATTTGACAATAACAAAAAACCAGGGAGAGAAATAAGTTATGACGTCTAGCAAACATCTGCGCGAATTCGTGATTTATCAGGACTGAAATGTTTTTGGAAACAGCATTAACTTATTTCTACATATGGTTTTTGCATTGCAAATTGAAAAACTTGTGCTTCACAACTTATAATTTGATAAATTTTGAAGAGAAAGTAAATTCCTACCAAAAAATAATTTACTGCTGAGAAGAAACAGTTTAAAAATCCATACAGCCAAATAGGTTTGTTGTTTATTTGCAAAGTTTAAGTTTTCATAAATGTAAACTGCTTCTGTAGGATCATACCAAAAATTTAGTAATGTATAAGGAATTTTCCTTTTATGTAAAAAGCCATGAAAAACTAATATTCTGAATCTGCAAAATTTGTTTGTTTACTTCTTCGCGCTCTGCATTTAAACAAACTGTTTCATTTTAGCCTTTTAAGTTACACCCCTTTGATTTTCGTTATATAAAATTCGCACTTTAATGGAAGTTTTTGGCATTTTATTTACATTGCCATTTGAAATTCCCGTTCTGTTTGTGCGGTTTGTCAAAATATAAGACCCGAAAGGATACTGGAAAATATTTATCTTTGAAAGGCAAGAACTCCTTGCGTCGATTTTCAAATTCAAATAGCCAAAACCTGGAATGAGGAAGTTGTGGAATTTAAATAATTTAACCAAGCTAATTGTTGAGTTCGAGGCAATGCCCATAGAAGTTGGGGTGTTTGGCTCTTTGGCTGCCATTATTTATCAATTGCGGCGCGTGTTTAAGTAGATTAAATGAGGCTACTTAATCATGTGCAGGGTATATATATTGATACCGTATTTGTGTTGTTTTTCCCCCTTAGTTGACCATGCTCTCAATAATAAATAACATGCTTTTAAGCTGTAATAAAAAGCGGGGTGAGAGAACCCCAGGCCAGGTGTGGGCATGCTAAAACAGTGTGATAATTTTTAGTTCAATAATTAGTGGAGTAACTAAACTGACAGAGTGTATATATAGCTCTAAATACGACGCACAATCACCAACACTGGGTAAAAATGGCGACACTTTGCTTATCACTTAAAGTGGCCGCTACCGCCCCAAAAAAAAAGAGAAAAAAGAATACAAAATTAGTGGCCGAAAATCGAAAAATAACCGTAGCACAATCTAATAGAAATTAAAATGCTCCCGCCTGTGGGTCGAAAGGGGGTAAATGCCATTTATGTACCCTGCCATCCATTTACCAAAATGGGGCGTGAGCCCTGGCAATTACCTGGGTGAGAAATCGTCGCCCCATCTAGATTGATCGGAGTCAACTGAAATATCAATTGCGCAGTGCGTGCCGCAATTGAAGCGATCATCAATAACGAACGATAAAAATAATGCACCGAACACGAGAAATTACTAGGGAATTCCGAGAAATTCCTCAGGCTTGTGTACCCCCGAAAAAGAATGCTATCTAATCAAGAACAGTTCGGAGGCTCAAGCCCAGAAACTCTAATGATTCAAATACTTTTGGACTCACCATTTGGGGTTTACTCCTCCGTAGAGTCTCTATGGGATTGTTGACTTTTCAGCTGATGGCTTCGGACGCAATCATTTCAAGTTTTTGTTTACGTTCAACACTTTTTCGGCTATTTGTTTTCACCTCAACCCCCGAAAATAAACATTCACTCGTCGAATTTGTATTATTTTGAGGAATAAAAGAAACAAACACTGGGGCTAGTTGTGGGGGCAGGGAAGTGGATATCCCAGCGCACAGCACTTATGCGGGATATTTGCAAAATAATTAAATTTCCGTTTGTCCGTTTACACATTCATTCATATAAATTTCAAATAGAATTTCCACTTTTTGTTTACAGATAGATATTTATTTTTGAACTTGTTGGATTTGCATTAAATATGATTTCCTTGATTTTTTCCACATTTTACGAAGCACTCTCTCTCAATGTGCATATTTAATGGATATGCTTATTTTGCTTATCCGTTTCCGCTTTCACTAACAAAAGACACGTCTCACTTTGTTTGCACCTTACTTGAACTGAGATATTTACATTTTTTTATTTATTTTCTTCTTTTTATTTTTAATTATTTTTTGATCGAGGCATAAATTAATCCCAATTTCAATTTAAAGCCGTTACGGTTTTCGCTTTGAAACGCGCGCCAATAGTTGGTAAAAAGATGACCGAACGATGTAACAAATCAACCGGTATTGCCGAAAAATCACGTAACCGGCGCGGAGTCCGAACACGTTGAAGCAACAAGCGTTGGTGGCGGAATGATAACAATTACCAACGGCCAAGTGTTGCTCCTGCACTCACCGAGAGCTTTTACGCAAAAGTTTCACGCTATGCGTTTTTTTTTTTGGGTGTCGAAAGCGTTTTTTGAGCGTGTGAATGGGACAGTCAGTATCAGATAAAAGGGAATTTGTATAATTTATATACATAAGTGTGATATTATATATAAATGATGATCCTCCTATCTCCTATCATTCCATCTTAGGTAGTACCCAAATTTTATGATTTAAATTTAAATATTATTAAACTCTTTGGTAAATAGTTAGATAATGAACAGAACATAAAACATTCTTCCTATTTTACAATATTCAAATTTTACCGCCAATGCGCATAACAAAATAATGGATATGGCAACGCTAATAAGTAGTGGTGAGTTTAAGCAGCTGTTTAGGTGGGTAGGGAAATGTCCTAACGCTTTTTTAAATATTGTACATAGGTTGCCAGATTGCACATTACGAAAATGTTTGAAATTAAAATTAAAAGAGAGTTTGGAATCCTGTTGTTTTATGATATAAAACAAATCAAACGTTGTTTTTTAAGTGTTTAGTAGATAAACTCAATAGATACATCAGTTTTTATTGACTGCCAGTAACAAGGTGTGCAATAATCATCACCGAAACTGGTTTGACTAGTTTATTCGCCTGTTCTTTGTTTGACTGCGAAATGCAACTAAGAAGCGGGAAAACAAAGGAGTTGGGAGGAAAACCTCCCTCGTGGAACGTACCCAAAAAGAGCAGCAACAGTATAAATGAAAATAAAAGCACCCCCGCCTAAGAGAGAAGCCAACGATTTATAAACAAACCCATTAGAACGAGGGCGTAGTTTGGTGGGGGCTATACAAAGACAGCTGATTGTGAGCTCTCACTCGCCTGCTCTCCCTTATTATCTCTCTCTCGCTCCCTGGGAGAGTACTAATCAGCTCGGTTCATATTTTTCAACTTTTCTGAATTCAATTCATTTCCATTTTTCGTTTCGATGCCAACGGCGGCAATAGATCGCGCTCCTCTTCGGTTGCCCAAAAGATATAGACATCTATATAATTACGCGCGGTAATACTCAACCCAGTAATTGTGTGTGCGTATGTACGCTTGTGCGTGTGCGAGTTGCACTCGGCTTATCAGTTGCATTGACACAGTGATAATCGGTCTGGATTCAGCAATCGAACAGAATATTTTGTGGTTTAGTGGGCTTAGCCTTTGGCCTGCCCGCCCCCATCGAACCCACACCCCTGCCCCTGATAAGCCGCAAAAAAAAAGCCTCAGAACTTGATATACTTTTTAGTGAGAACTACATACTAAACACTTAGTTGGACAGCCTAAAGCAAAAACAATGCCGTAGTGCCAATCGCGAAAGGTGTGGGAATGGCAGAGGGCCCAATAAGTCGACGGCTAGGCCAACACACATACACTCAAAGATATATCAGCTGCTTTTTAGAGAATACCGCAAGAAATTAGTACTCTTATTAGGCAAGAAACCTAGAGCGATTAAAAGTGCGTCTCAATTGTGCAAAACAAAGGCTAAAGAGAGCGACGTGCTAAATATACGTAAATAAACACGATTTGCATCGTAAAGAAGAAGCTTTAAGTGCATTTTGCAAGCGCTACACAACAAAATCAAAACATAGGGCATATCAGTTTACAGAAAACGCTTGAAAAAATTTCAAATAAAATTATAATTATATACACTAAATTTTAATCACGTGTTGTGTTCCATAAGAAAATATTTGTGAATGAGTTCTTTTAATTGAAATTCCTATTGAAATGCTACTATTTAGTAATCGGTAATCTATTATTTCTAGAAATATTTAAATAGATTCACGCAGTCGAACTGATTAATATTTTTAAACAGAAGTAGTTTATTACTTAAAAATAAATTAGGAGATATAATGCCTCGTAGAATATTTATAGGCTGAATTGTATTTACTGTAGCGCAATAATCTGGTGTCCCCTTTGCTCCCCCGCATCGTACGTTCTTTGTGATCTGGGAGCTCTTTTGCCTCGTTCTCGCTCTACGTGTGGCAATAACAACAAACATTGTTTATGCCAGAGGCGGATTAAAGAGGGATTTCGGAATACCAGAGGTATGACCTCCTAATTAGTCATTTTCTATTATTTATAACTTTCGTAATAGCCCGGAATATATGTCAATCCCCTTAGATAGTTATTTAGGCCTGCCCTTGGTTAATACTCTCTCGCTTTACATGTGCTGCCATGGGTTTGTGCGCTATTCGTGTTTTCGGGGCATGGTCTGATTAGCAACAGGCTACTGTTCCCACCCGTTCGACATTTTATGAAATGGGTTGTCTGCTGGTCTCATAGAACTTCTCCCCGTCCAAACCCCCTTCCCCAACGCCCTTGGGAACAGCTAGAAAGCGAATGAACTTACACACGACACGAAGAGCGAAATTAAAATTCAAATGAGCAAAAGGCACACACACACTTAAGCAGCCGCGAAATACGAAATATTATTTATTCTAATTGTTTGACGCGCCTCAAATTTAACAGGCCTACGACGGACGAAAGGAAAGAGCAATTAAATGGAGAACGCGAGCTAAAGACAGCGAATGATAAAAGTGAAACCGAAAAAGGTTAAGGTTATACGAAAGGCAAGAGATAGTAGAATATAGAAAACATATAGAAACCACGACATGTCCAGTTGGAGTTTGGCCAGTGCGGTCTCGCCAAATGTCACCAGTGGCGATGTCATTCGGTTAACGAACTTAAAGTCCAGTTCGGAGACCAACCTGCCAACACGAGGGTCAGGTGGATCCGGAGGACATGGCGGATCTGGAGGACTACCACGCCCCACGACACCCGTGCCTGCCAAGAAATTGGCCTCCAAGAGACCACCGCACTTGACCTTGAATGTTAAGTCGAAATCCCATGATGCTCCGCTGGCAGAAACGGAAAACATGGTGCTCTCCACAAGTGAATCCATCTACGGAACTCCGATGGGCGCCACTCCCATTTCCTCACCTGCCAACCAAAGTCAACGGAGTCAAAAGAGCCAGAATAGTGTCGAGAGCCGCTACAGCACTAGTACTGCAACTAGCGGAGGATCCATTTTCCCCCACGAGCAGTACAAAACCATCAAGAAAATCAACATAGGATTCGAGAACATACGCTACACCACCAAATTCGGAATCTTCCAGAGGGGTAAGTTGTTATAAACAAACCGTTTTTGGGAAAGATCACAATTTGGTATTCCATTTGTGTGTTTCGCTGTAATATAGTAAGAAAAGTATCTTTAAATGATATCATTTGAAATCGTCTGCATGTGTGGTTTTGATAGCTTTTCGATTCTAATGTGGATACGTTATTTAATTTCAATGTAAACATCATATCAAAACCATTTGGAAAAAAATTTGACATTGGAATAGGAGTCCACACACTTTTTGGGATGCAACCTAGAGGGTTTTTGATTTCTTTTGTTTTGGTTTCCATTTGATATCAGAAAGAATTATCAAAAGTGAAACATAAAACAAAAAGTGATCTTGAAAAGGATCAGCATTTTTAAGAAAAAATTAACAACATTATGCATCTTTGAATTTACTTATAAAAAAAAATTCAACTAAATTGTTTGATGGAAAAACGAAGAGATTGAGTTTATTTTAACACTTTGAGTAGGCGGCGCTTTGTTTATAAAAATTCTGTAGACAAAGCTTTGAGTCCTACTTGAATAAATGCTGACATCTAAAGAGCATTCCCCCAGGGTCATCAAATTGCTTTTGCTCCCGGTCACGCATTGTTGGCAATTATAATTAAGGGTTGCCTATATACTATATACTATACTATATACATATGTACGTACATACGGGAGTGGTAATGTCCAGTAAACCCAATTAAAATTAACCAGTTCACTGCCACTTGAATGACTCTTTTATATGAATTGCCAAAAATGGGATTTTAATGATAAAACCATCAGCATGCGAATAGTGCAACAATTATTTAAGCTATCAGCTCAGAAAGTCGTGATACCTGATATGGTTTCGGTTCATCAATCTCCAGATAAAGCCATTAAAAATGCTTTCATAAAAGTTTCCTGTATGTCGCACTTCGCTGGTTAAGCTAACATATGTATATTTCGCGATTAGGACACTTGGCTACTATCAACTGCTTGACATTTTCGTGTCTAAGATTTAAATATAAGGCAAAGTCCACTCTGCAGGAAAGAAAATATCAGAGAGAAATCATTTGCCTTTATTGGATATACATACTCGAACATATGTTACTAGAGGGGCACTTTCAATTCACTATATTGACATGCTGATTGAGCGAATCACGAGGTTCAAAGGCCCTTTTAAATTAAATTGAAATCAGGGCTAATAAGGAGGTCAATGGTATCTATCTAAATGTAGTTAAGTAAACTATTTGCATATCGTGGAGCGTGGGAGCCCTTCTAAGTTTATATTTTTTGTTTACCATTGCCAATCCCACTGTAACAATGCTGATAAGAACGAACGCTTACAACATGAAAACATGAAATAAGCTGTTCTCTTGTAAACTAACGCTTATCGTAGATATTTGAAGAGACTTACAAAATGTGAGTCACTCTAGTGCACTTCTGATAGATAGCCATTCCCCAAAACAGATATTTTGGTGAGCAGGTGCCCAATCATAGTATCCCAGGTGACTCACGGACTGAGTCATTTAAGTATCTGATTATGATCCTGGTGGAAATTATGACACGTGCCTCTTGCTGATTATAAGCACGATAAATCATTCACAAACATTATGGGGGTGCTTTCTAGGAATTCGTGTTTTGTTAGCCATGGTTAAATGCTACGATCTGAAACTAATTGGGGTTGTTAGGGTTAAGTACTATACATCTAATCTATCTTACATGAAAAAACTGTGACCAAGGCTGGTTATACTGCCTGGAACATAACCACAACATTCGTGTTCCATATCTACAAACTACCTTTATCGCGTGGCCGAGTAGAACCAGCATTTGATAATAAGAAGTAAAAATGTACATGCATGAATTCCTCGCCATTAATGTCTTTCAGATTATTGAAAATCGGAAGAGAGTGAAAGCAAATCGATAAATATGAATATGAAGTATATGAGTAAGGTAATGACTCTGATTACGACACAAGTCGGACATGTGATAAAAATTATCAATGTTTTGGGGAGAACTGAAAATAAAATAACTCACGATAGATACCCCACTTAGATAGACATATTAGAACAGAAAGCAGTGGGCAAATGAACAAAATGTTAGTGCCGATTTTTCTCTTTATGAGAAAGGCGCAAGCGTTTTAATTGATGGCACTTAAATTTCATTAAATGAAATATCTCTTCTTTGTTTCCTCGGATTTTCCGTTGCTCTTCGCGTGTCTTCATTGTCGCAACGTTTAAGTGAATTTTCTCGGTTTTCCTTTTTAAAAGTTTCAGACCATTAAAAACGTTCACAAAGAGCCCGACTTTAAAATCAACTTCTGAGATGAGTCAGATGATTTGAGGTTTTCTATTAAGAGATTAGCACGCTCTAGATGTAATTGTTGGGGACAGTTTCCGGTACGACTTAATATGGACATTTTAAAATGACCGGAGATCTCCGTCGGCATGTGCGTGTTTATACTTTCGTTTTCCTTCTGAATAACTTTTATTACTTACTGACTTTGTTTATAATTACTATTTTAAACTCGAAATATAAAAAATGTAAAACTTTTTCGTCACAGTGAAATTGTAACATAAAGATAAGACTTGTTGCATTCTCGAAATTGTTTTTAATTACCAGCGCAATTACCAATCGATTTGATAAGGAAATCGTTTCAATAATTCTACCTTTGGGTTACCTTCTTCAGTTTCAAGGCTTGAAATGGTAAAATGGGTAAGCCCAATGTAATATGTTGTGTAAAGTATTGTAGGTGGTCAGATGCAGGTGTTCGATATGTGTTACTCATAATCCTCCTTTCCCAAATGCAGTACCAAGTACAAGGCCATCGCGAAACCTTGATAAGGAGGCCAACTCCACCGCAGCGACGGGAATGCAATAAAAATGGCTCATTGTACACCTGTTGGGCCGGCTATGGTCTAGTTCAACATCTGTCCCAGGGGCATTAGAAAAAGACGTAAAGGCACTTTAACAACGATTTTGGTCATAGAACTCGCAGCGATAAGATTCGACGGCTGAGTGATTGATAAGCGGACGAGCAGACCCCTGAAATCTAAATTGGCCAGTAGCCAGGGCTAATCGGCAGATTAACCGGACCCATTCGACATCCAGAATTGGGCGACGACATTGTAGTTGGCCAAAGGAAACGAAACCCTCACCAAAGACGATCGGCTGGTATATTGAACTTAAGGCTTTTTATAGCACTATCATCCATCGACTTGGGAGCCCAGAAAGCGTGCAAGCTGTGATTAGACAGCATTGGACGACAGTAATCGGGGAAGTGGGATTCGCTTATCGCCGGGGATGTATGAGCTTATTTATTGTGAGAATGTGGGACACCCTATAATTAACAATTGTGGGGCAAGGAAATAAACAAAATACAAAGTCAACGAGGCTTCTGTTACAATTCATAAAAGAAGAAAAAGATACTCTATGATCTCATACATTAATATCATATTTCTCAACTTATAAAGCAGCCATTGGGTTTTTATATAGATATATCTTGAACTTGTTGGCTTTTATAATTTCTGAAAACTACCATATAAGGCAGCCTACAAACTAATCTTATAATTCAAAAACCTTTTGCATGATTTCTAGTTTGATTTAAGGCACTTAGGGAGTAATCAAATTAAGTTGAATTTCTTGAAAACTGAGGTCTGTCATTGATTAAATAACTTTATGGAACTGCCCCACTAATCAGTTATAAATCCCATCAATAAATGTAGTGTGACTTCTTGATACTATATTGCTAGCTTTCTAAGCAAACTACTTTTGAATTCATTCTCAACATTATTCATTTTATTTAAAAATATCCCATTCTTACAGAGACCAAAGATGTGCTCAAGGGATTAACAGGTTACTTCAAGTCGGGAGAGCTAAGTGCCGTGGTGGGACCTTCAGGAGCAGGAAAGAGCACATTGCTTAATATCCTGTCTGGATACACGTAATGTAACCTCCAACTTTAAATATCTTCTCATAAAAACTAACAATTTTTTGTATTTTAATTCAGAATACATGGCTATACGGGTGATTTTCGAGTCAATGGTAATAGGCGGGATTTGAAGGCCTTCAAGCCTAATGTGGCCTTCATCCGCCAGGATACGAGTCTGCAGGCCTTTCTCTCCGTCAAGGAAGCTATGCATTTTGCGGCCAACTTAAAGATCGGTACCCACATGACCCTTAATGAGAAAAAAGAGCGGGTGAAGAGCATTCTCGAGGCCATTGGGATGTATGAGAACCGGCATACGAGGACTGGCAATCTCAGTGGAGGTCAGAGAAAGCGTCTTGCCATTGCCCTGGAACTGGTGAACAATCCACCAGTTCTGATCTTGGACGAACCCACAAGGTAAGTTAATTCATATATTTTCATGATCGAAAACTAATATAAAATTTATATTTCGCAGTGGCTTGGATAGTTCAACCTCCAATCAGTTGATTAATCTACTCAAGAAACTCGCCCTCGAGGGACGAACTGTTATTTGCACAATCCATCAGCCAAGTGCCTTGACCTTTGCCATGTTCGATCACCTGTACGCCATTGGCGAGGGCCAGTGCATCTACGCCGGTGGATCCCAAAACCTTCTGCCCTTTTTGGGAGCCCTCAATTTGCACTGCCCGGAGTCCTACAACCCAGCCGATTACTGTAAGTTCAAACTGTAAAACTCTTTAAGAGAAAGAAAATAATTTACACTTGTCCAATTAATAGTAATGGAAATAGCCACTCACGACTATGACACGGAGGAGGATAACCAGCTGGAGAAGCTGGTGGCCCTGATGGACAATGGACGCAACGAGGATTACAGACAGAGCAAGTCTGCCCGAGTAGCGCAACTGGCAGCCTTGAAGAAAGTTGGTAAGGCAATCAGATTGCAACTTAAAGTGTGCACAAAATCACTAATAAAGTTTCTACTTTTTAGACCAACTAATGGCAGCGGGATTAATCACACCCGTGACAGCCCCCGTAATGTCTTCATCAGTTTCAGTGCCTTTCCCACAGAGCAGTACCTTTAAGCCATTAACTCCCATCAATGAGCTCTCTTCCCGGGTGTGGGACAGCCAAACGGCTGGAATCGGAAGCGGTGATGTTGGCGGACCGTCCGCTGGAAGCTGCTGTAAGCCCAAGAAGAAGAAACCCAAGCCAGCCATAGAGTTGGATCCATCCCACCTGTGTAAGAGGCAGAACATCTACGCCACTCCATTCTACCGCCAGCTAAGCATTCTTCTCGTGAGAACTTTCTTGTTGATTTGGCGGGACAGCTCGCTGACCACGATGCGGTTCGCCATTCACCTGATCACGGGACTTCTAATAGGAATCCTCTACTTTGGTATCGGCAACGATGCCGCCAACACGCTTAACATCATTCGATACCTCTTCTACACGATCATGTTCATCATGTACTGTGCCTTCTCGGGAATTCTAGTGAAATGTAAGTGTGACGAAAATGTTTTTCAAAAATATGTATTTTATTTATTTCCTTTACAGTTCCTCTGGAGTTTCCTATTGTGTCACGGGAGCATTTTAATCGCTGGTACTCCTTGAGAGCGTATTATGTGGCCATTACCCTGGCCGACCTGCCCATCCAGATTATCTGCAGTGCTCTTTTCATAGTGCCCACTTATCTGATGACCCAACAGCCTTTGGAACTCTGGCGGTTCGGTCTCTTCTTCCTGATTGTGTTCGTCACGGCACTGGTCTCGCAGAGCATTGGATTAGCAGTGGGAGCGGCACTTAGCCTTAAATTGGGATCCATTTTGGGACCCCTATTCATATGCCCGTTCCTTCAGTTCAGTGGATTCTTTCTGATGGAGAAGGACGCTCCGGCCTGTTTGCGTTGGATGTTCGACATATCCTTCCTCAAGTACAGTCTGGAGGGATCCATGATGGCCATTTTTGGATACGGTCGCGAACGGTTAGAGTGCGAGGAGATGTACTGCCATCTGAGGATGCCCAACCAAATACTCAAGACTATGGACATGGCCAATGCCAACTATACACTCGCCCTCGTCTTTCTGCTCAGCATTTTGGTCTTTCTGCGCATCTTAGCGTTCTACATCATGTCCTTCCGCCTTAGATTGTTCAGATGAGAAAAGAGGTCTGACGGACCTAAGGAAACCTGCCACATTCCGCCGACAATTAGAGTTTATACTTTTAGATTTGTGGTTTCTTTTAAAGCATTTATTCGAGAGAAACTTATGTGCCAAAGATTGGAGAAGCCTGTAGAGCGTAAGACAATCGTGATATATATCTGAAAGAAAGGATCATAGAGCCCTCACACACATATACACAGACATACAAACATACACACACGGCGGATACCGAGATCAATAACTGTAAATAGATATCATTTTTATAGCGTAGCATATAAACAAATGTATTTTTGTATTGTATTAATGAACCATTTATTGACTAGTTGTAAACACTAGCCTGATTTTCAGGCTTCGGCTGCGAGTATGACTTTGAAAATATTATTAAAAATATTTTTCCATGGAACTAAGATTCTTAAGCTTTTATTTGTGCTCTGCAGTGACTGTCTGACTTATAATTGTAAGAGATTTGAATAATTTCCCACAAAGCTGTCAGGCATTTAATTGTTTTTGCTCACCGAGTTTATCTCATTCAAGGTTTTATTGCTAAATATTGACCATGAAAACTATGATAAAATATTCAATTATATACATATTTATCTTATGGTTTCAAGATATAATTTATCTCCAGCTTAGAAGTAGGCTACATTTTTAAGCCAAACCTTATTACAGCTTAGGTGCTCTTCAAACTTGTTGCCAGATGAGTATGACGATTAATAGCAGTTGCCGGCATTCGACTATCGAGCAATTGAAATCAGTCTCGTTTTGAATATCAACAGAAAGTGGTCGCCTACTGGGGATCGCTGTTGCTCCTCGCCCTCCGTCACTCGGTTAATGTGATCACGACTTGAAATCTTAATTGACGCGAGCCAATCGGAATAAAAATAAACACAAAGTCGCTGTCAAATGTGATAAAAAATCAATTCATGACTATAAAAAACACTTTGAATGTAAATAAACATTAAAAAATGCAAACTTGAAGTTATTGAATGGGATTCAAACCCGATTTGCAGTCATTCCTGGGGGCCTATTGAAACCTGTTTTCCAAGAAAAGTGCCCGTGTGAATTAGTTAATTATAATTAGATCGGACTTTTCAGCTGCATTAACTACAGGTGCATTAGCAAAATTTCCGGGTAGACTGAAATTTGTGATAAGCACCAGCTGCTCCACATCTAAAATTAACAAAGGCAATTATATATTCTAACATCTATCGTATTACGCAGCTTGGACTGTACATATGCAATGTAAATGGGCGTGCATTATCAGCGGTCATTGTTTCGCGCTGAATACTCTGTATCAATTACCCAGTGCCGTCGGCCAATTGTTAATTTCACTCTCTAAAGAAGGTCATCGAAGATGGAGAAAATGCTGCTGCCTTTTAGGCGTAGTTGAAAAAAAGTTCACAACTCTGACGCTTAAAATCAACCAATGAGTTAACCATTTTTAAATTGTATTCATATAGGGTCTGACTTATATTTTAATAACCGGATTAACTATCTCTCTAGAAATATACAACTTCTATCGCTGAACGATTTTTAACCTACTTGCCTGACCTCGGACAAGATCCCATCAGTGCGAAGTAGGTGCGTCTGCATTGATTTGGAGACGCAGTCAGTCGAGCCCATGCAAGTCGCTGTCCAACAAGTTCGGTTGCGTTGGACGACCTTGATCCAATCCACCTAACCCTAAGCGATAAGATTATCCGCGATCCTCCAAAGCGTTTTTTCGAATGATAAGTGAAAGCTTCGATATGAACCAGTGATTAGCAATAAATTTATTTTGCATTTATTACGAATTTGGCAGTCGGCAGTTCGGTTCGATGGTTTGTTGACCGGCTTAATGTTCATTCCCCCACATAAACAAAAATCAAATAAAAACAACTCGCCTCACGGGTATCTCCATCATAAACAGCAATCTGCCGCCGTCCAATGGACGATAACGCAGTGCAAATTCAGGCTAACGGCCTGGCCCAAAAGCAAAAGGCAGTAGAGCTGCATTTTAGCCAAGTAAGCTACAGTTTGAAGGGAGCCACCAAGGGATCCAGTCCCATTCTGAACGAGGCATGTGGTGTCTTCAAGTCAGGACGTCTAACAGCTATTCTGGGTCCCTCGGGAGCCGGGAAGTCCACATTGCTCAATGCTCTAGCAGGATTCAAGTAACTATAAATAATTATATATATATAAATCTATAGTTTATTTCATCTCTTTTACTTTTCTTTTAACAACAGACTCCAAGGAGTTTCAGGACAGTTCCTGTTGAATGGTCGCCCCAGGGATATGATGACCTTTCGGAAAATGTCCGCTTATATTGCTCAAGACTTTGTGATGCTGAATCTCCTGAGCGTCGAAGAGACCTTGCGAGTTTCCGTTGACCTGAAGATGCCCAGTTCAACAGTTCCTCAGGAAAAACAGAAAATTGTTAGTGCTAAAAATACCATATAAGGGGGTTCAAACTAATTCCACAATTCCCAGATAGATGACATAATCGACGTACTGCAGCTGCAATCCTGTCGCAGGACTCTGGTTAAAAATCTATCCGGTGGGGAGCACAAGCGCCTGTCCATTGGCATTGAGCTGGTCACCAATCCGCCCATTATGTTCTTCGATGAACCCACCAGTGGACTGGATTGCGTGGCCAGCTACCAGGTGATCTGTCATTTGCAGAGACTGGCCCACGATGGCAGGATAGTGGTGTGTGTGGTGCATCAGCCGGGATCGCGGCTCTTTCAGCTTTTCGATGACGTCCTGGTGTTGGCTCACGGGGAGGTTCTCTATGCCGGCGAACAGCGAGAAATGTTGGGAACCTTTGCTCAATCCGGTCACATCTGCCCACAGTACTACAATCCTGCGGATTTCGGTTAGTTATATCTTTATATATTATATAGTACCTAATATTTCTTTTTATTTCTAAAGCCCTGGAAGTGTGCAGCCAATCCTCCACCACGGAGCGCTGTGACTCTCTCATCACTCAGAACAAGAATTTTCATTGCAACTCCAGCAACGTTGTCAAGCTCCAAGTGGATGAGGAGAGTAAGTGATGATGATCAGATGGATTCTCAGGATGGTTTATCTCATACAATACCTCTTACACGCGCTCCTGCACTCGTGTCTTGCTTTTCTTTTACTGCACTTTTCCCTTCTATGCTCTATCTTTCGCTTTTCTCTGTCTGTCCTAATTTTATTCCAGCAGCGCTGATTGATGTCCATAAGGATGCCCAGGACTTGTCACATTTGCGTGGTAAGGAGCAGGTGGGCTTCTGGATTCAGTTAAGTGTCCTGCTTCGACGCCACCTGCGATCCATGTGGAGGGATTTGGTGGGTTGTGGCTTACGGAACTTTTTTTTAGAGATCTTTTAAGTTATATTTCCCTCTTTCAGGTTGCAGTTCAGATGCGAGTGGTGATGCATGTGGTGGTGGCCCTGCTCTTGGGCGTGGTCTACTGGCAGATAGGTAGCGATGCAGGCAAAATCGTGTCCAATGTATCCTGCCTGTTCTTTGTGATCCTGTTCGTGTTCGCCGGCAATGCGATGCCCTCGATCCTGCTGTGTATGCAGGATTCGGCTGTCTTCATCCGAGAGTACTACAATGGATGGTACTCCCTAGGAGCTTACTACCTCTCTAAGGTTTTGGCTGATCTTCCCATGCAGCTCACCTGTCCCACACTGTTCATCAGCATCGGGTATTTTATGACGGGTCAGCCCCCGGAGCAACACCGATTTGCCATGTGTTGGGGGATTTGTGTGATGACCGCGTTCATTGGCCACTTTATCGGGGTGATTGCGGGATCCATGTTCCCCATGCAGTTGGCCATATTCCTGGTGCCGAGTGCCACGATTCCATTCCTCCTATTCTCTGGCTTCTTCATCAGACTGAACGAGCTCTCCTGGTTCCTGCGTCCCATCTGCAATGTGTCCTTCTTTAGATACATCTTCGAGGGTCTCATGAGGGCCATCTATGGATACGATCGCGGGGAACTAGAGTGCCATGCCGCTATGAATTTCTGTTACTACAGGACGGCGGACCAGTTCCTCAAGGACTTCGATATGCAGGGCGATGAGTTTGGCTGGGACATTGCTGTTCTGGGGTTTTTCGTGATCCTTCTGCTCCTCGCCTTCTTTGTGACCCTTACCACGGTCATACGACGAGCTCTTCGGTGATACAATTACTTAGTTCAGAATGTAAAAAATTATAAAGGGTGGCTTAAAGTTATTGAAAATAAAGTGTTAATATATTTAAGGGGTTTTTAAAAACAATATTTTGTAATATATTCTAAATACACATTCTACACAATTTTGACACATACCTTACATTGTTCTCTACACTTCTACACGTAGTCAAGTCACAAACCACAAAACTCAAAGTATGAAGAATGTTGTTAATGAAATTTTCGTTGGCTCCCTATATTTTACCTGCTATCTTTGGTATAAAGTAAATCTATAAGTGAATTACAAATTTTCATTACTTTTTCTACCATACGTCAACAAATTAATTTACTAATGTATCCATTTTATTTCCAAGAACACAAACAACAAAATTTCAAATTTTAGTTCGATGTTAAAGGTTTAAAAAATCAATTTAAGTTATTTATCTTTATATATTAACAATATAATTAGGAAACAAGTGGAATGTATCATGATAATTACTGAATATCCATCATTTTATTATGACATTTTAAATGCCGATATGGATTTGCTTTCTCAATCTTTTAAAAAATTTAACACTTTAAACCTTTTCTAATTTTTGCATCATAACCGCTCGCTTTAATCACTTTGAGGTTGTTTCCAGCGCCGACAGACAGATTTTCTGGCAAAGACATAATTCAAGTCTCGAAAGCGCCGTTACTTGCAGCCAAAACACACAAACGCACACACTTACAGAGTTATACAGTTACCCACACAAACACACATACCCATCTCCTATAGAGACAAGGACATCTTGGAATGTTGGCTGACTTACTGCCGCTATAGTCTGAAGTCCCGTGGCCTTTCTGCATCTTCGACACTTTTGGGCTTTGCTCGGAAATGCATTTTGCCAAGCTTTTTGTGCAGTCTACGAAATATCTGGCGGGGCAAGGATGGGGAAATTCCATTATTTTACCCGCAGTCATGTTGCAAATAGATAGCAAATTCGTTTAGTAACATTTCCCTCTGAGCCTTGCAGTCGGGAATCTGTGTGTGTTTCGGCTGTGAGCGAAACCAATTAGCGTTCTTTGGCTCGGCAAAGGTCTTCAATTTAATTATATGTAATGAGTAGCCACCTTTCATCCACATTTTGAGACTTCAGGCAAATATATATCCACATTAATAGGAAGTCACTGGCCTTTTGCTTTAATCAATTTAAAATACAAACAATCCCGGCAGACGGCAAAACATTGGCAGAAGCAGGCAAAATTTTAAAGTGGATCGGAAATATCTGCAAAATTTAAGCTGCCAATTGAAAAGTTCGGGCCTTCTCTTTTTGCTGGCAAAAGCATATGGAAAGTTTTTGGACCCAGTAAATCCCCAATGACCCAAATAGAAATGCTGGCGAGCTAAAACTTTTTTGGTGTGAATGGGAAAAATACAGACACCTATTCAGATTCACAACGTACGTGGAAGTGTGTTAAGTATTTTTTGACGGAGGCAGAAGTTTCGATATCGAAACAAGAGTATTCAATGTATTCCGAATAATATTTGATTGATGTGTAACAGGAGAAATAACTTAATAAAAATCATTAAAATGTTGTAAAAATGTGCTTCAGTTTGATTAATCAAACGAATTGGCAACATTGCGACTACTTTATGTTATTTAATGTCTCAATGTATAAAATGTGTACTTTTTAACCCAAAAACATAACACCTGCGTACCTGAAAACAAACCCAGAGCTGTAAATAAATGCTTTGCCACAGACAAACAAATTGCTTTATGCAACTTTATAAATGGTATCACAAACTTGCCATGTTTTCGTATAAATCAAATCCAGGATATCTGCGAAAAGTGCACAGAACTTTACGGGCAAAACACTTTTGCTTTTATTTTATTTATTTTGTGGCCGCCTCAAGACATCGCATGGCACGCCCCCATTCGCAGGCAACCTTGGAAATTTATGTGCAACACTTGTTACACATACGACATGTTGGACGTGTGCAGCGGCCAAGACAAATCGATTGCTGTTGCCAATGCAGCAGCCACTTCTTTTGTGGCACAAGCAATGGCAAGGGCATAATTTATTGAACACTTTGTTGCACTTGCCGCCGCCGAGCGATTCTCGGACTTAACCTCGGATGCGGGTCAGCACAAACCTGTTTTCTATCATTTCATGAAGATTTATATTTGCTTTCGGTTCCGGTTCCGTTTCCGGGAAATCTGAAAGAAAGTACTCCTCTAATTAATGTGTTTTGAGCAATTAAAATTCGCTTTTGAAAAAATAGTTTCTTTGATTTGAATTGCCCTTAAAATGCAAATCGCTCAAAGAGTTGACTTTCAGTATTTACGTACGAAAATGTTGATGCATTTTAATCAAAGATTTTGCTTTGCCTGCTAAAAAGTTAAATGCCAAACAGAGACTGTGAACACTTTTTGTCGAGTCGAAATGCTCTTTTAAAATGCAAATGATTTCCCATGAAAGACCAACCATTTTGGTTTGTCAATATCCTTTTGGTATCCTTTGGAAGCTTCGCCATGACAAACGCTTATTTGCCGCCATACGATTATTAATGGACTATGCGCATTTTGTGCACTTCATAATTTATTTCCCGCCATTAATGAAATTTTAATTTGTGCAGCCAACGCAAACAAAATGTCGTAAATTTTATTGACACTATATGCGAAAATGAAATTATAATGAAGTTTTCGCGCTGAATTACCAAAACATTTATTAAGTTTATGGACTTTGTCATGGCAGCACTTGTGACTGGGGGCAGCATAAAATGATTTGCCACCGAGTTTAATTGGACCGTTTGGAAATGTCTGAAATTTAAGTTGAACAAACAAAGCCGGAAACAAAGGAAAACCAAAGAAAGTAAGACAATAAAACTGAAATTGTTCTACAATTGCATTCTAGTTGCCTGGCTTGTAGTTCCATTTGCTTTCATTTTCAATTCAATGGCATTTGGCCCCGATGAAATGTAAACTATTTTTCAGGGGAAGATATAATGAGTAGTTTTCGCAATGGATTTCTAAACTGCAAAATTTGTAATCAGTACGGATTCAAGGGTCAAAGTTTATCGGGAGATAAATATAAGTTATTTTCCCAGCATTCAAGTCCTAATATTGATACCACAATTGCTAATCGATATATCAGAATGCCATTATTGACTTTCTCGTTTAACAATGAGTGCTCCGCATTCCGGAAGTGAACTATCCTTTGATTCACTTCCGGTGCCGCTGGATTACCGCACCCAAACAACGCGTTTCCGCTTATGAATGGCCGCCCTGGTTTTCAGTTCGATTGTCTGCGGCTGTCGTGAAACGTTCGCTGTTGTATGTCTGGCTGCTGTTCGACCGAAAGTCCGTGACATGAAATTGCATCCTGTTTGCTGGCCAGCCAAAAACTTTTATTATTTAAGTCCACAATATGCAACAGATTTTAGTTGGTCTCACAGTTTGCGACCAGAAGTGTTGGATACTTAACTTCCAGCTGGACATCAGGAACATTTCACCGGCTTCTAATTCTATTTTTCCCCAGTTTATTTTTAGCTCTTCACCGGCTTCCCACACAGAATGTGTCCTGAGTAAATATGGAAATCCTCAATCACAACCCAGCCATATTTCACCCGTCTCCACTTGTTTACTCTCGGGCATTGTGGTTGCCAAAAAATTCTATTTTGGGTAGTCTTGCGGTTTCCCCAGTTGCCACATAAATATGCATAACAGCGGGATGCGGCAAATGTATTTGCATAATGGACATTTAATTGATTTGGGTCTGCTTCGATGAATTGACACGAGCCATTTGTCGAACCGAAAATAATCAAGGATTTATGTTCAATAACAATACTGCCTATTGTTGTGCCCACAAAGGGGGAGTTTTCTATTAAATGGTTCTAAAACAAGAGTTTACTTTCTGTCATCTATTATTTATAGTTCTCAAACAAGGCATCTTAAACTAAAGACTACCGATGAAATTACTTTCTTGGGAATAGTTTATGGCTTATGTATTTTAGTTCTTTTGCTGAGCCCCAAAAATAACTCAACTCTGCTATAAGTCTCAGTACTCAGTGCTTAATTTGGATTACATTCTCTAAAAAGGGCAAAGGGGTAATAAAATCTGTTTATGCTCCTTTTATGCTGGCCCAAGCTGCGAAATATCACACAGCTGGAACCATGGGACTGCCAGCTGGTCCCCCAGAATTTCTGGCACTTTTATTGTGCGAGTGGCTCAAGGTCCTGCTGGTGGTGGTGGGTTCGAAGTGGGTGGGGCGGGTGGAAAACAGTTTTGTCTAAATGGCTGCAGTCAAAGGGAAATGTTTTGGGGAACTTTTGGCCCAAAACTAAAGATGCATAAGAGAGTGGTAATCCCGGCAAATGGCGTCTAAATGCCCAAGTTCGCCCAGAGGCACTCGAAGTGCTCTAAATGTCTACCCGCCACTTATAAATGGGCGGGGCACTCGTATTTATATTTTTCATTTCGTTGTTTCTATCGCAACCAGAAAACAGCCAGCCAATTTTCCAAGCCGGAGAGCAGCTGCTCCCAGTGCACTTGCCACCGCAGAAGCCATCATTTAAATTACGGAATTCCAACTGCTCCGGCATCAATCAACAGCGGCCAGTGAAAGTATTAGTTTTGGCCGAGGAAAGTTTTATAATTAGCTGTTGTGAGGAAAATGGCGAGTGCAAGGTAATCTAATTAAACTCGAGAAAGCCATTGGCCCGAGAACGTCCTCTAATCAAGCAAATAAATTGGGTCTCAGACCAAGCTTTGTATCACTTTCAATAAACTTTCCAGACGCGCCGAACTTTTGCAGTGGAAGAACCCAGAAGAGACTAACAATTAGCCTTCCCAGACTAATCAGGCCTTTGAAGTGGCTTCCTAAATGCATGCAGTCATTAGACCTGCCTCCTCACATATGCCTCATGCATATTGAAATTGGATCAAATTGAGTCCTGGCATATGTGATTAGTAATTCAGTTCGATTGATCCGATGCTGGTTGTATATCCTTTCAGGCCACCGGAAACCGGAAGCTGCTCCGCAGAGACACAGAGCCAACTCTCGTCGCAATTAATTTAGAGTTTTTGCAATACAATTTGTAAGCCAGTCAGGAAATTGACATATGC